GCCGAGAAGCATCTGTTTCGTTTCATGATCTCCTCGTGATTGCCCTCTTCAACGTTGATGACGTTGTAGCCGTGGTTCTCCATGATCACGGGCGTGAGCATCAAGGAAGTTTGCACCCGATTCTCGTACTCCAGCAGCTTCCCGAGATTCTCTCTCGCCTTGTTCGAAAACGGTCTGTACGTCTTCAGCTTCGTCTTGCACTTGGCAATCATCGGAGACAAAGCTAGAATGCAGGTGAAGTGATTCACCACCGCAGCCCGTTCTCGATTCAGTTTTGTCCACTGCTCGACCTCAATCGTGGTCTCCAAAGTAATGGGTGTGACCGGGTTGCCCTCGTCGTCCTCCAAGTGATTATAACACCTCCAAGCATGGCCCAAGTGCATAACTAGGCGTTGCCATTCATCAAGCGCCGCGTTGAACAAACGATGGCTGTTGTTGGACTCCCATGAAGCGTCCATGGTAAAGTAGCGCAGCTCCCGATGGATTGCCCTGAAAGAGATGACAATCGGAGCGTCGGGATCGGACAAGTTGATGGATCCGTCCCTTTTCCTCGTTGCACTCAGCCAGGTGTTGTCTGCGGGCACCGATTGGTTAACGACTCCACGTAGATCACCACCATAAGGACGCATCTTGAATTCACGTAGATGATCACGCAGCATGGCCAGGGTGAACTCCCCCTCATTCTTGACGGATAAGGGACGTGGAAGTTCTTGATGTGTTCCCACATGTTCCCCAGGCCGTTGATGCATCCCGTGGTGCAGAAATCTAATTTAATACTTTGTGGTTGTCCTGCACGAACGTCTTCATGTACTAAGACTTCTAAATTTATTTATTTTCACATCAGGCACTTAATGAAAATATTAGTAGTTATCTTAACTTATCATAGAAGTCATTTTTACTTATTTTCACTTATTTTCACTTAATTTAGGTTAATTTTTCATTATTTTTTACTGTTTAAAATTGATAAAAGACGAAAGATGTTTCTGTCATAGGGTTTTGTAAAACATCTTTGAATTAAAAAAATATAAGAATGTTGCGTTTTCTTTTTTTGTTTGGATATTTTCATGGTTCCGATGCAAGATCTTCCTTGTCCTGTTAAATGTATCTTTTACAGGAAGTTTCCTTTTCAGGCATCATCTCTTTTCAGGAACTATCCTTTTCAGGAATTATTCTTTTCAGAATGAATCCTTTTCAGGAGTTATCCTTATCAGGAATTTTTCAATTCAGATTGAATCCTTTTTCAGGAATTTTCCTTTCCAGGAATTATCCTTTACAGGAAATGTCTTTTCGAAGACCTTTTTCCATTCAGATAATATTTGGTCACTTTTCCTTGTTTTGTCACAAGCTGGAAATTACTCACTTTCTTACTTTCTATAGTTTTAAAACTTTATCTTTATTGAAAATGTTATAAAAATGTTCATATTTTACTATTTTTCTAAATTTATATTTTTATATACATTTTGGTCATTGATTTTCATATTTTTCACATTTTCATAATTTTCTAAAAATTATCTGCATTTTCGGAATGTTCTATTTTTTTGGAACTTTCTAAATTTTCTAAATTTTATATATCTATGTATATATATATATTTCTGAATATTGCGATTTTTTTCGAATTATCTAAATTTCCTAAATTCTCTGGATTTTCTGAAATTTTTGAATTTTCTGAATTTCAGAATTTTCATATTTTTTTTGTTTTTTTTAATTGTCTGAATTTTCTGAATTTTCATTTTCTGAATTTTCTGAATTTTCTGAATTTTCTGAATTTTCTGAATTTTCTGAATTTCCTGAATTTTCTGAATTTTCTGAATTTTCTGAATTTTCTGGGTTTCTGAATTTTCTGAATTTTCTGAATTGTTTTCCTTTTAATTTAAATTGTAAATTCTGAATTTTCTGAATTTTCTTTTCTGAATTTTCTGTTTCTGAATTTTCTGGGTTTCTGAATTTTGTGAATTTTCTGAGTTTTCTGAATTTTCTGAAATTTTCTGAATTTTCTGAATTTTCTGAATTTTCTGTTTTTTTCTAAAAATTTTCTGAATTTTCTGAATCTTCTGAATTTTAGATTTTTTTTAATTTTCTGACTCTTCTGAATTTTTAAAATTTTCTAAATTTTCTGATTTTTTTGTTTTTTCCGACTTTTCAACATTTTCAATATTTTCTTCATTTTCTACATTTTCTCATTTTCAAAATTTTCTGACGTATATACATTAAAAATAATAAATTTGTTACCTTCTGTATGTTTAAGCATTATAAATTTTCTCAGTAAGTTACTTTTCTCCATTTATTTCTATTACAATCTTTTTTTGAGTGGTGTGTATTGTTTCTCAGATTTCTTATTACTCTGAATGTCTCAAACTTAATTTATATATATATATATATTTGCAATATTTTTATATTTTATAATATTTTTCTGCATAGTTTCAACTGAGTTGATCTGAAATTTTCTATTAGAATATATCGTAATGTTTTGAGAAATTTAAAGAATTTGACTGTCAACAACTTCAAATGCGAATCCCTGGAAAACGTAAAGCTCAAGAAGCTACATTTTTTTTCTGGTGAAATATCATACTGAGTTTTTTTTATTTGTGAAAGAACTGCTTTTCATGAACATTATACTGCTCATATTTTTGCCTGCCCAGGAAGTATACATTACAGGAGGTCATCTTTTCAGAGAAAAAAGGGATACTAACTTTCCAGGAACTACTCCTTACAGGAAACATTATATATTCCAGATAATTTTTTCGTTATAAAAATTCCAATGCCCTTCCCTTTGAAGCCAAAATTGCTCCGTGGTAATCGACATCCATGTCCATCAATGTTGAAAACTGACAAAAAACATATTTTTACTTATTTTCGCTTTTTTTCCCTTATTTCAACTTATTTTTGAATAATATTCCACTATATTTACTTATATGTTCATTATTATGTTACAAGTTCACCTAAACGATTAGTGGAACTTAAAACAAAAAAATAAAAATAAACAATTTAAACAAGATATTAGCAAGATAATAGCAACTTATAATATACTTATAACTTCATTAAGTGCCTGATGTGAAAATAAATAAATTTAGAAGTCTTAGTAGGTTGTGCATTTTTCCAGAAAACGTTTGGCGCCCATGTTCAATTCCTCTGGGCATGCGACCAACTCCAGGACCTCGAGGAACAACGTGATGGCGTCCACTTCGGACCTGTTTGAAGGTACCTTGCTCAGGAAACATGCGGATGCCGCCGCAACTGTGCTAATCCCGATCGATGACCACTTGGCGACTGTGCTATCAGGCAGGCTACCGTAAGAAGGCTCATACTCTCAGGATGTATACGGCGGGATTACACTATGTTTCCCATTGTCTCTCAGGGTCACGAGGATGGCCTGGATCGCTTTCAGGTCGCTCTGCGCCGAACCCACCACGTTCGTGTAGTTCGACATGGCGTTCGCCTTAGGAGGATCCCGTACTACCCGATGCTGACTAGCATGCAGACGGGGTTCCGTTCACCCCGGGGTCACGTACTTCCTGCGGCGGTTTCCGATCACCCTATATCACCCTTGCGGCGATCGAAGATGACGAAGTCAATGGTGTCGTGGACATTTGACCTCGATGCTGATCGATAACCTGAGTTTCCGAGGTTGACATTACTGACACATATACTCTCCGGTAATTTAACGTAGCTATGCGTTTTCGAATTTTACACCACTAACCTGTACGTCAGTTTGGTCTCCCAGACCAGCATGTTCCCCCGAGACCCTGGCCAAGAAAAACCAACTAACCTGCACTATCATTTTGTGTCTCAAGGGCTACAACATGGAAGGAATTAAGCCAACTAACCTGGCTATTGGTAAAATTAGCTATACCTAACATAGCTATTGTACTCTGTTCCACATTGTTTCATCTCAACCCATAAAGAGACTTGTTTTCCCCTTTTGTTCTCTTAGGTAGCTAACATGGCAACTGCAGCCTGCATGGCACACATTGGTGCCAATGCCTTGAATTTTCATCCAACAAGTAAGCTTAAATATGACATGTGTCCTTTGTATATTGTTTTCAATTTCCCTGAAGTTCAGTAGCTATGTTAGTGGACCTGTCGACAATGAGTCCTGTCCTATTGCAAAAAAAATATTTGTGGGTGGATGACGAACTCAAACTAAGAAATGCGCTGTAAAAAAGTTCCTGGCCACTGGCTAATCTACCCTGAGCATCCGATATTGATTACAATCATTTTTTCCAAAAAAAATCGATATTGATTTTACTAAAAAATCAAAATAAATATCAATATAAAACTAATGCTTTTGAAGCTTCAAAATCAATATAAAAAGTTGGACCAAATACCTCTTTCTATTGATATCCACTTTGATTTTTATACTCATGTTCCTCTATTTTTATATTGATTTTGAAGCCTCCAAAATCAATATTTTATATTGATTTTGAAGCCTCCAAAATCAATATTTTATATTGATTTTGTGGTTGGTTTTTGACATGGTTTTGGGGTCTGGGAATGTGTTTGTCTCTACCCTGCCCCTTGCAAAAGGGTAGCCCTTGCAAAAGGGTGTTCCTTGTATTTCCTTTTGTGCCATGTTTGTTGTCCATATGTTTTTGTTTCTTTTCCTATTCTATGCTAAAGCAAACAAAACATGTTTAGTTGTTAAAACAAGCAAACTAAACACATGAACATGTCCTGCCTGCAGCCATTTTTGGTTCTGAGCCTAGCAGCTATGAGTAGGAAGAAGGAGAAGGAAGATGTGGACATGACAAAACATGTTTAGTTGTTAAAACAAGCAAACTAAACACATGAACATGTCCTGCCTGCAGCCATTTTTGGTTCTGAGCCTAGCAGCTATGAGTAGGAAGAAGGAGAAGGAAGATGTGGACATGGAGGAGGAGGAAGAAGAGGAGTGGGAGGATGATGAGCCTTGGAGAAATTCTAAGGGAAGGAAATCTGGTGGGGGCACCACCCCTTGGGCTAGGCAAGCCAGAAGAGCTGCCAAGCAATCCAAGAGGGTGGTGATGTCCACTGGCAAGCCCCTTGAAAAAGGGGACAAAGCCCTTGCAAAAGGGACACCCCTTGAGAAAGGGAACAAAGCCCTTGCAAAAGGGACACCCCTTGAGAAAGGGAGCAAAGCCCTTGCAAAAGGGCAATATGACACCAAGTGCCAGGAGCTGAAGGACAGGCTGATGAAGAGCCTCAACAAGGGGAAGCTTGGTCCCAGGCTGGAAGCTGGCACATCCCTTGAGAAAGGGACAGCTGCAAGCAGCAGCAATGCTGCACCCCTTGAGAAAGGGGCAAGCAGGAGCAATCCTGCACCCCTTGAAAAAGGGAAAAAAAAACTTCTTGAAAAAGGGGAGGCATCAGGCCTTGAAAAAGGGCAATTCCTTGAAAAAGGAAATGTTGCCAAAAAGGTGGCAGTTCTGGAGTCAAAGACTGCCACCAACAAGCAGGCAAAATCCCTTGCAAAAGGGAAGGAGACTGCAGCCCTTGAAAAAGGGTCAGAAAAGAAGCAGCCTCCTGAAGCCCAATCAGAACCTTTGGCTGTGTTGGTTGATTGGCACCATTGCCTGAAAAATGGTCCCCAGGACACTGTGCTGGTCCAGGACCTCATGGCCCTGCAGAAGCTCCTTGACAAAGGAGTGGAGGTGCATTTGCTCTCCTTCTGTGGGGCCAAGCAAATCCCCAAAGTTGAAAACGAAATGTGGGACAAGCTCCCAGATCTCATTGAACAACTTCACTGGTGGGGATGCTGCACCAGTCGCACTGGGGTGGGGGGCAAGGCAGGGTATGCCACAGAGTGGGGCTGCCAGGTGGCCTTTGATGATTCAAAGGACATCTTGCAAGAGCTGGGCTCATGGGGTGTCAAAACCTATGGCATCCAGACACCAAGAGAGAGCCATGCATGGATGCCAGAAAACTCCAGGTTTGCATCCTTTGCAGAAGCAGTGAGGCAGTTCATCAGGGATTACAATCTTTGAGACTGCTTCCAGCCCTTGCAAAAGGGTGCCCTGCAAAACCCTTGAAAAGGGTATGGCTCTCACATGGCAACCCTTGAAAAAGGGTGGGTGTCTAGCCCCAATCCTTGCAAAAGGATAACCCTTGAAAAAGGGTAAGTGTCCCCATCCCAAGGATAACCCTTGAAAAAGGGTAGGTGACTGGCCCCAACCCTTACAAAAGGATACCCCTTGAAAAAGGGATGTCCCACCCCAACCCTTGCAAAAGGGTACCCCTTGAAAAAGGGACAGTGTCTCACCCCAATCCTTGCAAAAGGGTAATCCTTGCAAAAGGATCAAATAAGAGCAGCCCTTGCAAAAGGGTCATGTGGCTCAGGTCTACACACAGCATTTGCAATAACAAATGCATGTATTTACACACACATACATACATACATACATACATACATACAAACATACATACACACATACAGACATACATACATACATACATACATACATACATACATACATACATACATATAGGTGTTGTGATATTTAAAAAAACACTGTGTGTTTCTGTTTGCTGTGTGTTAACCTGAGCCATAGCTCAGCCCTTGCAAAAGGGCCACTTGTAGCTGCAGCCCAACAGTGGTTTGTACAGAAGCTACCAAATGTGTAGCAAGCAGCAAAAAAAATGAAATAAATAAATATAAATAAATCAAAATAATTAAATAATTAATGTATTAAATATAAATACATGCAACTTTACACAGCCTGTTTTTTAAATTAAAAACCTTTGCCATGGACATATGCCTTTTGAAAATTGATGTTTTTTGAGTTTTGCATGGGCCCTAAAACAACAAAGCAAGGAAACACAGATACTATTGGAAAAAAAAAGGCGCACCAAATTAAACATTATCCCTTGCAAAAGGGACATCACAAACATTCAAGATTTAAGGTGGCAAGGTTCATTTTTGTAAACTGAGATGTTTTCTCAAATGCTGTTTGGTGTCTGTTTCAGGCTGCAGGCAGATGATTATGTTTCTGTTGACTCTGCAGTTTCTTGACCCAAACAAATCCCACAATGATATTTGAAACAGCATAGAAACACAGAGTACTAAACTGTTTGACCCAAAATTAAAAACCAGTGAATTCATACCTGAAAAAAAGAATTAAGCTTGAATTTTTATATAATATGTTAAGATGCAGTTGGGAAAATCCTTAATTGCAAAAATAAGTGTTCAAATTATTTATTTTAAGAGTCAGACACAAATAGTATCTGGAATCTATCTCAAATTATACAATGTATTTTCAAAAATATTTCCAGTATAGTTTCAATATAGTCCAATACAGGTTTGACAGTGAAATGTTGCCTTACTGTTTTGTTGTGTACACAAAAAACACTGAAATATATTTAAATTATTTGTTTTGGTTTTGAAAGGGTTTATAAATTGAAAAAAATGTTTTAAAAAATATTAGTGCCAATCCAATCCTATCCAATTCTATCAGTTTATTTGTTTTTTAACAGGCTCATCAAAAAATTCAAGGCTTTGAAAATAAAAATTGAACTTTGATAAAATTTGATGAAAACATGGTTTTCATCAGATTTCATCAAATTTCATCAAAGTTCATCAAAAGAATCAAGGTTTTGAAAAAAAACTGAACTTTGATGAAATTTGATGAAAACATGGTTTTTCATCAAATTTCTTCAAAGTTCATCAAAAAAATCAAGGTTTTGAAAAAAAATGGACTTTGATGAAATTTGATGAAATTTGATGAAAACATGGTTTTTCATCAAATTTCATCAAAAAAATCAAGGTTTTGAAAAAAAATGGACTTTGATGAAATTTGATGAAAACATGGTTTTTCATCAAATTTCATCAAATTTCATCAAAAAAATCAAGGTTTTGAAAAAAACATGAACTTTGATGAAATTTGATGAAAACCTGGTTTTTCATCAAATTTCATCAAGGTTCATCAAAGTTCATCAAGACTAAATTCATTTGAAAAAAATGCAACAACCAGTGATTGAAACCAGAATTAGATTTGCAACACCTTGAAAAAGTTGAAATTAATGTAACCAATGATTGTTGAACATTGGTTTTGGTATTGAATTTATATGTGTTGTATGTTTGTTTGGTTAGTAACACCAATTTGTTTTGGTTTGGAAAATATTGAAAAACCCGTGTTTTCCTTAAATTAAAAAAGGTTTTATCTATGTTTGTTTTATATTGTTTTGGTTTGTGTTAATGTATTGCTTTGGTTTGGTTGAAAAATCATGGGTTTTCTTCCACCTGCAAAATAATTAAATAATAAATATTCAATATAATTTAATATAATTGCATAAAATTAATAATATACATTTATATAAATGAATATATATATATATATATTTATTTATTAATGAACATGCTTGTGTATGATATATGCATGGTGTTTTATATTTGCTATGTAGTTTTGACAAGAAAACTATTTATATGCCTTATCATATATTATATGTTTGTTTTCTGCTTGTTTCTTTTTAAAAACAATTTTGTACACATTTTGTACAAAACACACACATGCACACACACACACACATGAACTAAACCCTTCATGCACCTGCAGCCACTTTAAATTTCAAACACTTTTAGGAAGAAAATGCCAATTTCCAAGATGGCAAAACCATTGAAAAAGAAAATTTTGAAAAACAAGCCCTTGCAAAAGGGCAACTCCTTGCAAAAGGACAAGCCCCTGCAAAAGGGCAAGCCCTTGCCAAAGGGCAAGCCCTTGCCAAAGGGCAAGCCCTTGCCAAAGGGCAAGCCCTTGCAAAAGGACAAGCCCTTGCCAAAGGGCAAGCCCTTGCCAAAGGGCAAGCCCTTGCAAAAGGACAAGCCCTTGCCAAAGGGCAAGCCCTTGCCAAAGGGCAAGCCCTTGCCAAAGGGCAAGCCCTTACCAAAGGGCAAGCCCTTGCAAAAGGACAAGCCCTTGCCAAAGGGCAAGCCCTTGCAAAAGGACAAGCCCTTGCCAAAGGACAAGCCCTTGACCTCGATGCTGATCGATAACCTGAGTTTCCGAGGTTGACATTACTGACACATATACTCTCCGGTAATTTAACGTAGCTATGCGTTTTCGAATTTTACACCACTAACCTGTACGTCAGTTTGGTCTCCCAGACCAGCATGTTCCCCCGAGACCCTGGCCAAGAAAAACCAACTAACCTGCACTATCATTTTGTGTCTCAAGGGCTACAACATGGAAGGAATTAAGCCAACTAACCTGGCTATTGGTAAAATTAGCTATACCTAACATAGCTATTGTACTCTGTTCCACATTGTTTCATCTCAACCCATAAAGAGACTTGTTTTCCCCTTTTGTTCTCTTAGGTAGCTAACATGGCAACTGCAGCCTGCATGGCACACATTGGTGCCAATGCCTTGAATTTTCATCCAACAAGTAAGCTTAAATATGACATGTGTCCTTTGTATATTGTTTTCAATTTCCCTGAAGTTCAGTAGCTATGTTAGTGGACCTGTCGACAATGAGTCCTGTCCTATTGCAAAAAAAATATTTGTGGGTGGATGACGAACTCAAACTAAGAAATGCGCTGTAAAAAAGTTCCTGGCCACTGGCTAATCTACCCTGAGCATCCGATATTGATTACAATCATTTTTTCCAAAAAAAATCGATATTGATTTTACTAAAAAATCAAAATAAATATCAATATAAAACTAATGCTTTTGAAGCTTCAAAATCAATATAAAAAGTTGGACCAAATACCTCTTTCTATTGATATCCACTTTGATTTTTATACTCATGTTCCTCTATTTTTATATTGATTTTGAAGCCTCCAAAATCAATATTTTATATTGATTTTGAAGCCTCCAAAATCAATATTTTATATTGATTTTGTGGTTGGTTTTTGACATGGTTTTGGGGTCTGGGAATGTGTTTGTCTCTACCCTGCCCCTTGCAAAAGGGTAGCCCTTGCAAAAGGGTGTTCCTTGTATTTCCTTTTGTGCCATGTTTGTTGTCCATATGTTTTTGTTTCTTTTCCTATTCTATGCCAAAGCAAACAAAACATGTTTAGTTGTTAAAACAAGCAAACTAAACACATGAACATGTCCTGCCTGCAGCCATTTTTGGTTCTGAGCCTAGCAGCTATGAGTAGGAAGAAGGAGAAGGAAGATGTGGACATGACAAAACATGTTTAGTTGTTAAAACAAGCAAACTAAACACATGAACATGTCCTGCCTGCAGCCATTTTTGGTTCTGAGCCTAGCAGCTATGAGTAGGAAGAAGGAGAAGGAAGATGTGGACATGGAGGAGGAGGAAGAAGAGGAGTGGGAGGATGATGAGCCTTGGAGAAATTCTAAGGGAAGGAAATCTGGTGGGGGCACCACCCCTTGGGCTAGGCAAGCCAGAAGAGCTGCCAAGCAATCCAAGAGGGTGGTGATGTCCACTGGCAAGCCCCTTGAAAAAGGGGACAAAGCCCTTGCAAAAGGGACACCCCTTGAGAAAGGGAACAAAGCCCTTGCAAAAGGGACACCCCTTGAGAAAGGGAGCAAAGCCCTTGCAAAAGGGCAATATGACACCAAGTGCCAGGAGCTGAAGGACAGGCTGATGAAGAGCCTCAACAAGGGGAAACTTGGTCCCAGGCTGGAAGCTGGCACATCCCTTGAGAAAGGGACAGCTGCAAGCAGCAGCAATGCTGCACCCCTTGAGAAAGGGGCAAGCAGGAGCAATTCTGCACTCCTTGAAAAAGGGGAAAAAAAAACTTCTTGAAAAAGGGGAGGCATCAGGCCTTGAAAAAGGGCAATTCCTTGAAAAAGGAAATGTTGCCAAAAAGGTGGCAGTTCTGGAGTCAAAGACTGCCACCAACAAGCAGGCAAAATCCCTTGCAAAAGGGAAGGAGACTGCAGCCCTTGAAAAAGGGTCAGAAAAGAAGCAGCCTCCTGAAGCCCAATCAGAACCTTTGGCTGTGTTGGTTGATTGGCACCATTGCCTGAAAAATGGTCCCCAGGACACTGTGCTGGTCCAGGACCTCATGGCCCTGCAGAAGCTCCTTGACAAAGGAGTGGAGGTGCATTTGCTCTCCTTCTGTGGGGCCAAGCAAATCCCCAAAGTTGAAAACGAAATGTGGGACAAGCTCCCAGATCTCATTGAACAACTTCACTGGTGGGGATGCTGCACCAGTCGCACTGGGGTGGGGGGCAAGGCAGGGTATGCCACAGAGTGGGGCTGCCAGGTGGCCTTTGATGATTCAAAGGACATCTTGCAAGAGCTGGGCTCATGGGGTGTCAAAACCTATGGCATCCAGACACCAAGAGAGAGCCATGCATGGATGCCAGAAAACTCCAGGTTTGCATGCTTTGCAGAAGCAGTGAGGCAGTTCATCAGGGATTACAATCTTTGAGACTGCTTCCAGCCCTTGCAAAAGGGTGCCCTGCAAAACCCTTGAAAAAGGGTATGGCTCTCACATGGCAACCCTTGAAAAAGGGTGGGTGTCTAGCCCCAATCCTTGCAAAAGGATAACCCTTGAAAAAGGGTAAGTGCCCCCATCCCAAGGATAACCCTTGAAAAAGGGTAGGTGACTGGCCCCAACCCTTACAAAAGGATACCCCTTGAAAAAGGGATGTCCCACCCCAATCCTTGCAAAAGGATACCCCTTGAAAAAGGGACAGTGTCTCACCCCAATCCTTGCAAAAGGGTAATCCTTGCAAAAGGATCAAATAAGAGCAGCCCTTGCAAAAGGGTCATGTGGCTCAGGTCTACACACAGCATTTGCAATAACAAATGCATGTATTTACACACACATACATACATACATACATACATACATACACACATACAGACATACATACATACATACATACATACATATAGGTGTTGTGATATTTTAAAAAACACTGTGTGTTTCTGTTTGCTGTGTGTTAACCTGGGCCATAGCTCAGCCCTTGCAAAAGGGCCACTTGTAGCTGCAGCCCAACAGTGGTTTGTACAGAAGCTACCAAATGTGTAGCAAGCAGCAAAAAAAATGAAATAAATAAATATAAATAAATCAAAATAATTAAATAATTAATGTATTAAAAATAAATACATGCAACTTTACACAGCCTGTTTTTTAAATTAAAAACCTTTGCCATGGACATATGCCTTTTGAAAATTGATGTTTTTTGAGTTTTGCATGGGCCCTAAAACAACAAAGCAAGGAAACACAGATACTATTGGGAAAAAAAAAGGCGCACCAAATTAAACATTATCCCTTGCAAAAGGGACATCACAAACATTCAAGATTTAAGGTGGCAAGGTTCATTTTTGTAAACTGAGATGTTTTCTCAAATGCTGTTTGGTGTCTGTTTCAGGCTGCAGGCAGATGATTATGTTTCTGTTGACTCTGCAGTTTCTTGACCCAAACAAATCCCACAATGATATTTGAAACAGCATAGAAACACAGAGTACTAAACTGCTTGACCCAAAATTAAAAACCAGTGAATTCATACCTGAAAAAAAGAATTAAGCTTGAATTTTTATATAATATGTTAAGATGCAGTTGGGAAAATCCTTAATTGCAAAAATAAGTGTTCAAATTATTTATTTTAAGAGTCAGACACAAATAGTATCTGGAATCTATCTCAAATTATACAATGTATTTTCAAAAATATTTCCAGTATAGTTTCAATATAGTCCAATACAGGTTTGACAGTGAAATGTTGCCTTACTGTTTTGTTGTGTACACAAAAAACACTGAAATATATTTAAATTATTTGTTTTGGTTTTGAAAGGGTTTATAAATTGAAAAAAATGTTTTAAAAAATATTAGTGCCAATCCAATCCTATCCAATTCTATCAGTTTATTTGTTTTTTAACAGGCTCATCAAAAAATTCAAGGCTTTGAAAATAAAAATTGAACTTTGATAAAATTTGATGAAAACATGGTTTTCATCAGATTTCATCAAATTTCATCAAAGTTCATCAAAAGAATCAAGGTTTTGAAAAAAAAAACTGAACTTTGATGAAATTTGATGAAAACATGGTTTTTCATCAAATTTCTTCAAAGTTCATCAAAAAAATCAAGGTTTTGAAAAAAAATGGACTTTGATGAAATTTGATGAAATTTGATGAAATTTGATGAAATTTGATGAAAACATGGTTTTTCATCAAATTTCATCAAATTTCATCAAAAAATCAAGGTTTTGAAAAAAAAAATGAACTTTGATGAAATTTGATGAAAACCTGGTTTTTCATCAAATTTCATCAAATTTCATCAAGGTTCATCAAAGTTCATCAAAACTAAATTCATTTGAAAAAAATGCAACAACCAGTGATTGAAACCAGATTTAGATTTGCAACACCTTGAAAAAGTTGAAATTAATGTAACCAATGATTGTTGAACATTGGTTTTGGTATTGAATTTATATGTGTTGTATGTTTGTTTGGTTAGTAACACCAATTTGTTTTGGTTTGGAAAATATTGAAAAACCCGTGTTTTCCTTAAATTAAAAAAAGTTTTATCTATGTTTGTTTTATATTGTTTTGGTTTGTGTTAATGTATTGCTTTGGTTAGGTTGAAAAATCATGGGTTTTCTTCCACCTGCAAAATAATTAAATAATAAATATTCAATATAATTTAATATAATTGCATAAAATTAATAATATACATTTATATAAATGAATATATATATATATATTTATTTATTAATGAACATGCTTGTGTATGATATATGCATGGTGTTTTATATTTGCTATGTAGTTTTGACAAGAAAACTATTTATATGCCTTATCATATATTATATGTTTGTTTTCTGCTTGTTTCTTTTTAAAAACAATTTTGTACACATTTTGTACAAAACACACACATGCACACACACACACATGAACTAAACCCTTCATGCACCTGCAGCCACTTTAAATTTCAAACACTTTTAGGAAGAAAATGCCAATTTCCAAGATGGCAAAACCATTGAAAAAGAAAATTTTGAAAAACAAGCCCTTGCAAAAGGGCAACTCCTTGCAAAAGGACAAGCCCCTGCAAAAGGCAAGCCCTTGCCAAAGGGCAAGCCCTTGCCAAAGGGCAAGCCCTTGCCAAAGGGCAAGCCCTTGCAAAAGGACAAGCCCTTGCCAAAGGGCAAGCCCTTGCCAAAGGGCAAGCCCTTGCAAAAGGACAAGCCCTTGCCAAAGGGCAAGCCCTTGCCAAAGGGCAAGCCCTTGCCAAAGGGCAAGCCCTTACCAAAGGGCAAGCCCTTGCAAAAGGACAAGCCCTTGCCAAAGGGCAAGCCCTTGCAAAAGGACAAGCCCTTGCCAAAGGGCAAGCCCTTGCCAAAGGGAAAGCCCTTGCCAAAGGGCAATTCCTTTCAAAAGGACAAGCCCTTGCAAAAGGACAAGCCCTTGCCAAAGGGCAAGCCCTTGGGAAAGGGCAAACATCTCCTCAGTAGTGGCAGCAAGCCCTTGAAAAAGGACAAGCTCTTGAAAAAGGGCAAGCTGTGTGTTAAGCAGTGGCAGCAAGCCCTTGAAAAAGGACAAGCTCTTGAAAAAGGGCAAGCTGTGTGCTAAGAACTTCAACAGACTTGGCAATCTTTCTTTGCAAGAGAAGGTTGCTGCAGTTTGTGAGGAGCAAGTGATGATGACAGGCTGGTTAACCATCCAGCAACCCTTGAAAAAGGGTGGGGGCAAGTCACCATCCCTCTGTTCACACATGGTGATGGAGTGGAATATGAATCCAGGGACAGCTTGATGGTTTGGAGCTTTGGACCCCTCCTCTCCCAAGAACAATCCCTGGACAGCCACTTGCTCATGACAGCCCTTGCAACAAATTAAGTGGCACAGGCCTTCCCTTTGACCCTTGCAAAAGGGTATTGGTCATTGCCAAAAGGAACCAGCCCTTTGCAAAAGGGGACTAACCCTTGCAAAAGGGGATCCCTTGCAAAAGGGAACCAGCCCTTGCAAGAGGGTAGTGTTTTTAGAAATGGCCTCAAGGCTTCTGTGCAGCAAAGCCTGTGAAACACTTCACATGCCTAGGAAAAGTTTGCTGGCTGCAGCTTGCGAAGGTAGGAAAGGGAATGGTAACTGGGCAGGCATACAGGCTTACCTGACATGCATGCCTCTGCAGCTGTTTTGCTTCAAAGCTTTAAGGTTTAGTGTGAAAAGTTGTAGAAGATCCAGCCCTTGCAAAAGGGCAAGTTCCAACCCTTGGAAAAGGGTAGCCAAGCCTTGCAAAAGGCAAACCTTTAAAGGTATAGAGAAACCCTTGCAAAAGGGAAACTCCTTGAAAAAGGGTTGGGGTTTTAAAGCCCTTAGCCCTTGAGAAAGGGTGATGAGCAACACGCCTTTCAGCTTGCCTGCGCCATGCCCACCAAACCCTTGGGAAAGGGGCCAGCTGGAAATAAGACATAGAGTCCTTGCAACCATGGACCCCCCAACAGAATATTGGGGAGTCTACCATGAAAGGTGGCTGCAAAATGTAGGTGAGGCAAGCTTTTCTTTGGACCAAAGCTGCTTGATCCAAAGGAAAAACAATGATGGCTTCACATATTTTGCACTTTGGCTGAAGCCAGTTGCTCATGGGTTTCCTGTGGTGCAGCCTCATATTAGCTTGGGCTTGGCCAATTTTTTTACCCATCAAGGACATTGGATTGCAACTATCAGGTCACAAGCTTTCCTGTGGCCAAGGGTGATCAAAGGGCAATTCCAAAGATATGGGCAGCTGAACTTTGCCTTGTTGCAGAACAATGAACTCTCAGCCCTGGTCCAAGTATTGCGAGAAACTCTTGCAAAAGAGTCCTGCAGCACAAAACAAATGGACAGGGTGCCCCACATCAGCTGGACCCCAATTATGAAGTTTGGCCTTTGAACCCTTGCAAAAGGATAATTCCTTGGGAAAGGAGCACCCCTTGGGAAAGGGATGGCTGCCAGGAATGATCTTTGAGAAAGGGCACCCTTTGCAAAAGGGTGGATGGAGCATAAGGGGTGCCCCTTGAGAAAGGGGAAGCTGCCATCCCTTGAGAAAGGGAAACAATGGTCCTTGACAAAGGACACCCCTTGAAAAAGGGATGAGTGGAGCTGATCCTTGGCAAAGGATGCCCCTTGAGAAAGGGACACCCTGGCACACAATCATTGCAAAAGGATTGCCCTTGCAAAAGGGCAATTGCCAAGACTAGCCCTTGAGAAAGGGTGCCCCTTGAAAAAGGGATTTTGCCACAAGCAATCCTTGAGAAAGGATGTCCCTTGCAAAAGGGAAATTGCCAAAATCAATCCTTGAGAAAGGATGCTCCTTAATGCAAAAGGAAACCCCTTGCAAAAGGGCACTGCCTCCTTAGCCCTGGAGCTCTTTGGACATCCCTTGGGAAAGGGAAAGATACCCGCACTGATCCTTGCAAAAGGATAGAACCCTTGCAAAAGGGTAAGTTGCCAGAGGCCCTTGGGAAAGGGCATCCCTTGAGAAAGGACATCCCTTGAAAAAGGGAGTGATGGAGCTAATCCTTGAGAAAGGGTCTTGATCCTTGGCAAAGGATAACACTTTGCCATGAAATTTGTGCATACAACCCTCCAAAGGAGGGGGCTGGTGCTGCAATGTCTGGGGTCCAAAAGGGAAAGGGGAGACAAGTGGAAACATTGGAAAAATATTGATTTTTATATTGATTTTTGGCTTGCTTTTCAAATCCAGCAAACAAATCAATATAGAAAAATAACACCAAGGGCTCTGAAATCAATATTTTATATTGAAAAAACATTGAAATCAAAAGTGCTTGCCCCATATTGATTGTAATCAATATCGGATGCTCAGGGTAGCTATTGGGACCATGTTTTTTCTCATTTTACAAGGACTAAGTTGCTCAAAATCACCAAATGGCCTCCCGGCCAGATCGAACCCCAAAAATGCATTTTTGAATAGAGCTGTGCTACTGAAATTGATCGGAAAAAAAGCTATGAAAATCATTTTTTGAATTCTGGTAAAATGCTCCGCTGTGGTCTCTGGTGCCAGCAGATAGGCCACTGGCTAACCTAGCTATTGGGAACATGTGTTTTTCATTTTACAGGCACTAAGTTGCTGCTGCTCAAAATCACAACCAAATGACCTCCCGGCCAGATCGAGCACCAAAAATGTATTTTTGAATAGGGCTGTGCTATTGAAATTGATCGGGAAAAAAGTTATGAAAATCATTTTTTGGGTTCCTGGTAAAATGTTCCACTGTGGTCCCTGGTGCCAGCAAATAGGCCACTGGCTAACCTAGCTATTGGGAACATGTGTTTTTTTATTTTACAAAGACTAACTTGCTCAAAATGGCATTTTTGAATAGAGCTGTGCTATTGAAATTGATCGAAAAAAAAAGCTATGAAAATCATTTTTTGGGTTCCTGGTAAAATGCTCCACTTTGGTCGCTGGGGGAAGGGGGGTAAGGCTTAGCCGCCAGTGGATACGATTGGCTAACCTAGCTATTGGGACCATGTGTTTTTTCATTTTACAAGGATTAAGTTGCTCAAAATCATCACCAAATGGCTTCCCGGCCAGATCGAACCCCAAAAATGTATTTTTGAAAAGAGCTACTGAAATTGATCGGAAAAAAAGCTATGAAAATCATTTTTTTGGTTTCTGGTATGCTCCACTGTGATCCCTGGTGCCAACAAATAGGCCACTGGCTAACCTAGCTATTGGGAACATGTGTTTTTTATTTTACAAAGACTAAGTTGCTCAAAATCACCACCTGGCCTCCCGGCCAGATCGAGCATCAACAATGTATTTTTGAATAGAGCTGTGCTATTGAAATTGATCGGAAAAAAAGGCTATGAAAATCGTTTTTTGGGTTCCTGGTAAAATGCTCCACTGTGGTCCCTGGTGCCAGCAGATAGGCCACTGGCTAACCTAGCTATTGGGAACATGTGTTTTTTATTTTACAAAGACTAAGTTGCTGCTGCTCAAAATCACAACCAAATGACCTCCCGGCCAGATCGAGCACCAAAAATGTATTTTTGAATAGGGCTGTGCTATTGAAATTGATCGGGAAAAAAGTTATGAAAATCATTTTTTGGGTTCCTGGTAAAATGTTCCACTGTGGTCCCTGGTGCCAGCAAATAGGCCACTTGCTAACCTAGCTATTGGGAACATGTTTTTTTCATTTTACAGGGACTAAGTTGCTGCTGCTCAAAATCACAACCAAACGCCTCCCGGCCAAATCGAGCATCAAAAATGCATTTTTGAATAGAGCTGTGCTATTGAAATTGATCGGAAAAAAAGCTATGAAAATCAATTGTTGGGTTCCTGGTAAAATGCTCCACTGTGGTCCCCGTGCAAGCAAATAGGCCACTGGCTAACCTAGCTATTGGGAACATGTGTTTTTCATATTACAAGGACTAAGTTGCTCAAAATCACCACCAAACGGCTTCCCGGCCAGATCGAGCACCAAAAATGCATTTTTCCCCACATTGACGTGTGGGGTTTTTGTTTTTAGTTCTGTATCCGCGCCTCCTCCTCCTCCTTCCCGTCCTCCTTGCTCACTCACTCACTCACTCACACTCAGTCACTCACTCACTCGCTCGCTCGCTCGCTCGCTCGCTCACTCACTCACTCACACTCACTCACTCACTCACTCAACTCTCCGCCTCTTTTGCGTGGCAGGCGTGGGACAATGTGCACTGTCAAGGGGTCGGATGTACGCCCCGGGGTTCCGCTGGCGTCCCTGGGTCTCCGCCCTTTTGCGTGGCAGGCGTGGGACAATGTGCACTGTCAAGGGGTCGGATGTACGCCCCGGGGTTTCGCTGGCGTCCCTGGGTCTCCGCCTCTTTTGCGTGCAGGCGTGGGACAATGTGCACTGTCTGTCAAGGGGTCGGATGTACGCCCCGGGGTTCCGCTGGCGTCCCTGGGTCTCCGCCTCTTTTGCGTGGCAGGCGTGGGACAATGTGCATTGCCAAGCCTATTTTGCGTGGCAGGCGTGGGACAATGTGCACTGTCAAGGCGTCGGATGTACGCCCCGGGGTTCCGCTGGCGTCCCTGGGTCTCCGCCTCTTTTGCGTGGCAGGCGTGGGACAATGTGCACTGTCAAGGGGTCGGATGTACGCCGGCGTGGGACAATGTGCACTGTCAAGGGGTCGGATGTACGCCCCGGGGTTCCGCTGGCGTCCCTGGGTCTCCGCCTCTTTTGCGTGGCAGGCGTGGGACAATGTGCATGGCCAAGGGGTCGGATGTACGCCCCGGGGTTCCGCTGGCGTCCCTGGGTCTCCGCCTCTTTTGCGTGGCAGGCGTGGGAAAATGTGCACTGCCAAGGGGTCGGATGTACGCCCCGGGGTTCCGCTGGCGTCCCTGGGTCTCCGCCTCTTTTGCGTGGCAGGCGTGGGACAATGTGCACTGCCAAGGGGGGTTTTTGTTTTTAGTTCTGTATCCGCGCCTCCTCCTCCTTCCCGTCCTCCTTCGCTCACACACTCACTCACTCACTCACTCACTCACCCACCCACTCACTCACTCACTCACTCGCTCACTCACTCACTCACACTCACTCACTCACTCACCCACCCACTCACTCACTCACTCACTCGCTCACTCAGTCACTCAGTCACTCAGTCACTCAGTCACTCAGTCACTCAGTCACTCAGTCACTCAGTCACTCAGTCACTCAGTCACTCAGTCACTCAGTCACTCAGTCACTCACTCACTCACTCACTCACTCGTGCTCACAACACACATCGCTCACACACACACTCACCTCACTCACTCACTCATCACGTCACGCAAGCTCACCTCCCTGATCGCTCGGCTTCACTCACGTCTCCTCCCTCCCTCCCTCCCCCCCTCCCTCCCTCACTCACTCACTTCTCTGCACCCTCACTTCACCTCACACTCACTCACCTGTGCACATGGCTCATCATCATCATCATCATCATCATCATCATCAATATCATAATAGATGGTTTTATGATGAATAGCTGTATAGAGCTATTTTTAAATGATGACGGGTTATTTAGGATATGTTATTGGTGATGGCATGTTATGATGAACATAGCTCTGAACAGGTGTGCTCTGAAGTGGACATGTCAACTCGGGCATCTGAACGACTCACTGAGGTCAGCACAGAAGCACTTGCGATCACCCCACTTCTGACCGCATCCTTCTCATCCGCCTAGCCCCCTCCATCACTCTTATACTTCCTCTTCCCTTCTTGCTTTTCTATGCTCAGTCTAAGTCTAGAGAAGTTGGTAACATGTGGGGTTATCCGGTCCTATAATTGTTTTTACTGTTCTGCTATCCGGCGCCATCTTCCTCCTCCTTCCCTCCTCCTCCGTAACGACTCCTCACTGTCACCTCACTCACTCACCTCACCTCACCTCACCTCACCTCACCTCACCTCACCTCACCTCACCTCACCTCACCTCACCTCACCTCACCTCACCTCACCTCACCTCACCTCAACTCACTCACTCACTCACTCACTCACTCACTCACTCACTCACTCACTCACTCACTCACTCACTCACTCACTCACTCACATCACTCACACTCACACTCACACTTACACTCACATTCACACACACTCTCACTCGCACTCGCACTCGCACTCGCACTCGCACTGGCACTGGCACTCGCACTCGCACTCACTCACTCACTCACCCACTCACTCACTCACTCACTCATTCATTCACTCACTCACTCACTCACACACACTCTCACTCGCACTCGCACTCGCACTCTCACTCACTCACTCACTCACTCGCTCGCTCGCTCGCTCGCTCGCTCGCTCACACACACTCGCTCACACACACACACACACTCACTCACTCACTCACTCACTCACACACTCACACACACACACTCACTCACTCACTCACTCACTCACTCACTCACTCACGCACACACTCACTCCCACACTCACTCACTCACACACTCACTCACACACTCACTCACACACTCACTCTCACACTCACTCACACTCACTCACACTCACTCACACTCACTCACACTCACTCACACTCACTCACACTCACTCACACACACACTCACACACACACACTCACTTCACAGACTCACTCACTCACACTCACTCACTCACACTCACACTCACTCACTCACTCACACACACGCACACACACACACACGCCGTGGGACAATGTGCACTGCCAAGGGGTCGGATGTACGCCCTGGCGTCCCTCCGGTGTCCCTTGGTCTCCGCCACTTTTGCGTGGCAGGCGTGGGACAAGTGCGTGGCAGGCGTGGGACCATGTGCACTGCCAAGGGGTCGGCTGTACACCCTGGCGTCCCTCCGGTGTCCCTTGGTCTCCGCCGCTTTTGCGTGGCAGGCGTGGGACAATGTGCACTGCCAAGGGGTCGGTTGTACGCCCTGGCGTCCCTCCGGTGTCCCTTGGTCTCCGCCGCTTTTGCGTGGCAGGCGTGGGACAATGTGCGCTGCCAAGGGGTCGGTTGTACGCCCTGGCGTCCCTCCGGTGTCCCTTGGTCTCCGTCGCTTTTGCGTGGCAGGCGTGGGACCATGTGCACTGCCAAGGGGTCGGATGTACGCACTGGCGTCCCTATTCTTTAAGGCGTTGGGGAGCAACCCATGTTTTTTCAGAATCCCATTCTTACTCCACTGTGACACAACAAGGGCGGTGGAGTTCGCAGCAGACAGTTCGGGTATATATAGCAGATACTTTGGCCTTGCTGACTGATTTGAATTTAAGAATGAGCCCAATTCATTTTACATGTCTTCGACAATGGAATACAGTACTTAGGGAGCTTGAGCTTTCGGCGCGCCGAAGGAACGGGAAACGTGGATAGGACACAAGGATGCATCACTTAATGATTGTTTGTTGTAATTCCTGGTTTTTGTTGCTTCGTGTTTTGTGGAAATTAATTTCCTCTAATCCGGGTGGTTTTTGTTTGCGCGTTTTCTTGCTGTTTGTTGTTTTACCAACCAACTGCTTTAGCAAAAAAGATGAAGTGGTGCAATTCTTTTAAAAAGGTTGCCAAAAATTGGATTTCGAAGCGGGCCTTATTAATAAATTTGAAACCTTAATAATAAAAACTATTTTTTCCGATTTAAAAATCAATTCAATTTTCTTTTATTATTGCCAAAAATTTGTTTTCGAAGCGGGCCCTAATAATACATTAAACGCCCTAATATAAAAAACTAAAAATTTTCGGACGGATCCTAATAATAAACAGCTCGGGGTTGACTAGTTTTTATTTTTAGGGGGCGAAACCCACAAATGGTAGCTTTATTTTTAATTTGTTTTCTAAAGGGGGTCAATTAAAAGTCAAATTGGCCAATCTGAAATTTTCCAAAATTAGAGATGGACCCTAGTTTTTAGTATTTGGGGGGTTTAGTAATAGGGGGAAAGGATTACACTACACTACACTACACTACGCTACACAAACCTACACTACGCTACACTACACTAAACTACACTAACTACAACTACAGCTGCAACTGCAACTACACTACTTTACACTACACTACACCAGACAACACTACACTAGACTACGCTACAGCACACAACACTACAGCACACTACACTACACTAGACTACACTACAGCACACAATATTGCAGCTTACTACACTACATCACATTACACTACACTACAACTACAGCTGCACTACACCAGACTGCATCCAGCAGTTGTGGCCGCAACCATTGCAACCACTCCAAAAAACACAACTCCAACCACCTTTCGGTCCATCAGTGGATTCGCTCTGCCATCCATGCATCACAACAACTCACCTCTCCTATAGTGTCCTATGTTTGAAACTTCCGCCACCGCCTTGCGCGGTACTACTGGTAAGATATAGGTAAATTACAAGGAATTCATTGCAATTTCACTGGAGTGATTGTTAGTAAGGGAAGCTATCCCAAAATGGCATTATTTCAGATTCGTGAATGTGTTTTTTCTATAATATTTCCATGTAGTATGTTTATGTGTGTTCAGATTCACATATCGACTCCCATGTTTGTATACCTGGTTTTTTCGTCGCTATGTTCTTCACTTACTAAAACCCATACGCGCGGTTGCCACCAATTTTTCTGGCATGGTCCAGCTTTGAGTTCAATCATCTCGGACAGGGCAGCGTGTACAGTATGTGCACGCAACGATTCCTACACCAAAGTTTGCCACTTTGCTTCGCAAACATATACATTCATGAATTAACATGTTCTTTGCGCTGAATCTCGACGGTGGTTCATTTCTATCTACTTATATCGGTTTACTACAGTGACATCAATCCCTACCAGTCGCATGGAAGATTCCATGACAAGCGACAAAACTGTCATACTTGGATATTTGTACTTAGTCTGCTTGGTTGTAGATGGTTTGTTTGTGTGAGGTCCTCAAAAAAAAGACTAGACGATGCCACACGGGTGGTTGCAAATTCAAGAAATTTCGGGAAAGAATTGTCTTTTGGTCTTCCATTTTGCAGCCGTGATTTTGAAAGTCGTTTTTTTGGTTTAATTATCCACCTGACGGGAACACATGCAGATCAACATCAAGCGTGTGGATGCGAATTTCCGAAACATAGATCAATGTCGTAAAAGCAGCATCGACATTGATAGATGTGCAAACGGCACGGTTGAGTGTAACAGACTGATCAAAACAAGCAGTTTGGGTGCGTGCTTGGTGAAGATTAGGTTTTAGTATCAACTTGGTGCAGGGGTACTGCCGTCCCCACTTTCTGATTGAGCTAGATGAGCTTGGGTTTGGAGTAAAAGGGTTCTCTTTACAAATAAGCATGAGAGGTGAGAGGTGATCACAATCAAGGACTCCCCTAACGCCTTAACGCCAAGAATGGATGAGTTTAGCTCTGTCGAATTTGGAAGAAGCAGGGCCATGATCACATTAAAAAACAAAGCTGGCAAGCAACCTATAAAGTTTTGGTTAGTGGTTCAGAATATGTTTGATGTCCACTTGACCTCAAGTGATTAGTATGCTTGGGACGGGTTGACCCGGTAACCAGACGTCTTTCAGGGGTGACCTTCGCTCAACCAATGAGAATCCTCAGGTTGAGACTGCTAAACCGTTGAAACACTGACATGGGGTTTTCCTTTAGATCGATTCACCATCAGAGCGGCTGGTTGTGTTTGTACGTTTTACCCGAACCATCCGCACTATACTGCATCCCCATGCTCCTTGTTAGGCACCCAGACTTGCTGCACCCTGCAAGGCCCGCCCCAGAAGTCAAGAACAGCGATGTGGCAGCAAGCTTGACACACGCATTGGACCTTGCGTTGCATGGAGGCACGCTGATGTCTGACAGTTGAAGATGGTTGGCTGTGTCAAATGCACGGGTTTCACTAGCGTGTTCCCCAGACGGTGTGTCCACACTAAGGGGTTCTTACGGTATAGGTGAGGCCGCGGTTAGATCAGGGTGCTCCATCTGATTCCCAGCATTTTTGCAGTAAATTCTTGCATAAAATGGCTTTTGTGAGATGTCCATGTGCATTTCGACTGCGCAGGCTCGCACAAAGTCTGCAACGCGAGTTTTTCCAGGTCTTGGTCTGAAGCATTTTCATTGAACATGCTCGCATAAAATGTTTCTTCGCAGATGTCCATGTGCATTTCGACTGCGCAGGCTCGCACAAAGTCTGCAACGCGAGTTTTTCCAGGTCTTGGTCTGAAGCATTTTCATTGAACATGCTCGCATAAAATGTTTCTTCGCAGATGTCCATGTGCATTTCGACTGCGCAGGCTCGCACAAAGTCTGCAACGCGAGTTTTTCCAGGTCTTAGTCTGAAGCATTTTCATTGAACATGCTCGCATAAAATGTTTCTTCGCAGATGTCCATGTGCATTTCGACTGCGCAGGCTCGCATAAAAAAGGTTGCCCCAGTCTTGGCATGGAGCATGTTCATTGAACATTCTCGCCTAAACGGCTTCTTCGCACATATCCATGTGCATTTCGATTGCGCAGCCTCGCACATCTTGGTCTGGACCATTTTCATTGGAAAGTATCGCCTAAACGGCTTCTCCGCAGCCATGTGCATGTCAACTGCGCAGGCTCGCACAAAGTGCGCGCCCCGACCTTATGGTGCTTCATTTTTCCGGTAAATTCTCGCAGAAAATTTGCTCTTACATCAAAAGTCTAAGTGTCGACCTCTTATTACACCGCATTCAAAAATTCGAGCTCACAAAGGGCACCCCCCTGTGAGGTGTCAGTGTAGACAATAAATGGCTAATGCCCTGGTGCCGCCAACCCCTCTTCAAGTAGGGGGCCGGGGGTCAGACGTTGACAACACCGCCACTGCAGTTTATTTGGAGCCTCAAGTTTGGGCCCCGCAGGAGGAAAAGTGCCAAACGGTAGTTGCAAAACGCGATTCCATGTGCACGCACGTCGACTGCGCCGGCCTGCACCAAGTTTGACATCCCGATCTTGGGGCGCGCCATTTTTCCTGCAAATTCTCGCGTGGAATTGCTCTTGTGAAATGTCCATGTGCATTTCGACTGCAGGCTTGCACAATGTGCGTCCCGATCTTGGGGCGCGGCATTTTTCCCGTAAATGCTCGCATGACATGAAATTGCTTTTGTGAGATGTCAATGTGCATGTCAAGTGATCAGGCTCGCACACAAAGTCTGCGCCGCGGGGTTCTCAAGCTCTGGGTCGATCTGCGGCATTTTCATTTTATATTCTCGCATAGACGGGCTCTTGCGGAGATCTTGCGAAATTCCTCTCAAAGAGGTCCTTGCGTGTCTTCGAGGTGCTTGTATGAAAGCTAGGCTCTTGGGAGGTTCTTGTATCAAGATCTTCTCAGATCCGCTCCAGCAGCATCAGGTCCTTTTTTGACCATCTTGTGAAAATCTTATTCTCAATTGTGCGAAGATCTTGGGCAGATCCTATAGTGAAATGCTGTCAGTGGCCCCTGGCCTTTGCATGATCCTCTACAGGTCCTTGTGAGACGCTTTTGAAGAGGTCCTGGTGAAGTCCTCTCGGTGTCATTACATGATCTGGCGCAGGTCCTTGTGAGAAGATCTTGTGGAGATCCTGCTGAAATGCTCCTGAGCAGGTCCTCGCATTAAGACCTTGAAGATCTTCTGCATTGGTGCTTGTATGAGAGTTTTTGCTGCAGCTGCCATAGCGCCTAACCTCATCTGTGACTGTTCCATAGCTACCGTTTGCGTGTTTCTGGCACATTGACTTCCTACCCCCCATACTGTTTGGGGTCTCTTGCCGGTGCAATTTGTTTAGCAACACTTTCCACTTGCATGCGAACATACTGATAAGAACAAACTGGAAAATTGCAGCCTCAAACTTCAAAACCCAAGCCGCACCACTAAATTGCCTGTTACATTTGTTTTTTAATCCATATATGTTTTGTTCACCATACATGTATCATCCCTACCGACCATTCTGAAAGGATGCAATCTTCACATGTATCCACATTGAAGAACAAATATGTGCACAGTTGATCCCTATGGTGCATTGCCAAAAACGAAAAGCCTTGAAATCGAAATAGCATTATCCCAAGTTCATGTTGGGCGACCAAAGTACCATTGGAATTGAATGCGAGATCCATGTCAGCTTTGGTTTGAAGGGCCCTGCATGGTTTTTGAAAAGGACACCCCCAGTTTTGCTCGTCAGAGTATGGATGCACATGTTGATCTCTGCTCGACGGGATTGCAAGGGTTGTGATTCTTTATGATCTACTCTGCGTTGGTGATATTTTCTCGACGCCCACCTTTCTTCCCGTTTTTTCCCTCTTTTCTCCCCCATTTCTCTCACGTTTCCACGTGCCCGCCCAGCCTACCTCGATGTGCACAGCTTTCAGCCCGCGCTGCGGCGTTGTTGGCAAAGCGCTCAGCTGGAGCTGGGCCAGGGACAGCTGCAGAAGCGCGACACACTGAGGGCCTTAGGCTGGAGGGTGTCAGGGTGCCACTTGTGAATGCCTATAGGGATTCAAGTCCAATTAAATAATAATTGGGGGTTGGAAGTTTTGATTACACACAAAAAAGGGTGATCAACGTGCGGCTTAGATCAATTCTTGTTAGAATTTAGACGCATTTCTTAATTTTTACGGGTCCCCAAAAATCCTCCATTGTTCCCACCAAAACACCATAGTTTGACTATAAATGTTTAAAGTACTGGTAGTAGTGGTCGTAGAAGTCGTGGAGTAGTGGTCGAAGTAGACGAAGTAGACGAAGAAGTAGTAGTAGTAGTAGTAGCAGTAGTAGCAGCAGCAGCAGTAGCAGTAGCAGTAGCAGTATAGAGGAGTAGTAGTAGTAGTAGTCGTCGTCGTGGTGGTGGTGGTAGCAGTATAGTAGTGGCGGTGGTAGTAGTAGCACTAGTAGTGGCGGTGATGGTGGTCGTCGTAGTAGTGGTGGTGGTGTGGTGGTGGTGGTGTTGCACATGGGAAAGTAGTCAGATACAGCTGGAAACCCATACATGTATACATATACACGCCTTAAAACCGCAGTGTCGAAGTGATTTCACATGTTTGGGCAAGATCGTAGCACACCTAATTAACATAGCTTTTGTCACACAAAAAACGTGCTGGCCAGTAATCGCCGTGATCGTCCGAAGGATGTACTTTTTTCGCATGTTGTTAATCGTGCAGAAACATGAAAACATTTGAATGACAAAACAGGAGTCTAGTTTCTCCAGTATCCAAGTCTCCTGATTGGTGTTTCTACAGATGCAATGCTATTAGACTGTACAATCTGAAGAGCGTAAGGCGGGCTTCTCTTTTTTCATCAACGTCACATCAAATCCCACGAAACAGAACTGTTAGACACCTGTTTGATGCCTTTGTTTACTCGGTTCTGCCCCTTGCTTCATCAAACCGAATGTAGTATACCGATCAGTGTCCTGGGACTCTATTGTGAAACAATTTTCAAAAATGAGTATTTTGTGAATGGGGGATGGGCCTCTATTGTGAGAAGTTTTTTCTCAGATCCAATTTTTTCAGGAGGAGCTTTATCCACCTTTATACACCTTTCTTTGGATAAAGCTGGTCTATTTACTTTATATCGATGATAAAGCCTTGAAAATGCCAGATTTTCGAAAGAATTAGATGCCTTATTCAACCCTTATTAAAAAACAGCACCCAAACAATTTTTCAAGGGGGTACCCCATGAGTGACCCAGATCCGCATTAATGTAATTGTTTCGATGGTACGCTATTGCGCACAAAAACTTTTGGGGCCATGTTTTTTCGGAGTTAAAAGGAAAATCAATTGAAAGTAGATTGATGTCAATTGAAATCCTTGCTTAAGTTACCCATCCGAAACTTGTTGAGGGGGGCGTTTTAAATGTCGATTTATTGAGTAATTGTTGTGGGGGGGGCCACACCAATCAGTATCCAACATTAATCCCGTTCCAGGCGAGTGTCAAGAACTATTGGGTGCAATCTCAGCATCTGCTGCCTGTCCTGCATTGGCAGGGTTCAGCTGATATAAAAATGTACTGGATTCCGGACATGCGGCACATTTAAGTTTGAAAAGCATTTGGAAACAGTTTCTACATTGCTGCTAATTGCCATGTTGGCTGTGTTTCATGAAGCTATCTAATGATTTTGATGTGTTTTCCACACGGCCTGGCTGGACAAGCAACAACGACTTCATTGACCCACCTCACCCAAAATGTTGGTTCATGGACAGAATATCCCTAAAATGGCAAGCTTTCAGATTTGCGACTTTTGGACTTTGTTGCATCAAAGTGATGCCTCTCTCATGGATGGTATGGCAACCTAGTGTATGTATTGGTAAACTGCATCACTATGTGCAGCTGGGTGATACATATACTTTGCAGCCTGTGCTTGCAGAACAAAAGTGAACGCACACGGTTTTCGCATGATGGTTCCTAGCCGTCCAGGACCAACTGGTGGGCCACACCGTCTTTGAGAGGCGGGTAACACCGCAAGCAGCTGTGTGAGGAGCGGCGCTTGGTGGTGAATTACTTGGACTACAAGTCCACGGCAGCTGCGTGCGTCGCTCACTGCCCCAGAAGGCAGTGCACCCCGGCCAACACGGGAAAAGGTAAGGCCAAAGGAAAGGGCCAAAAAGAACAGAGGGTTTCCGAACGAGGTCAGCTGCGGCAACTGAGAGAGTTGCCGCGTGGCGCCCCGAGGCGTGCAGACTCCTTTCTGGTTGACAATCAGGAAGAGGAAGAGTCTCGAGGCCTGACGCAGATAGGCTCGACTACGTGGAAGGTCTTCGGCTGCAGTCAGTGCCTGAGACCGCAGTGCCGGAGTTCTTCGACCAGCAGAACGTGGTCATTGGAGGACTTCCCACCTACGAAGGGGAGAGTGTGGCAGAACTTCACTAAGAAACACTCAACTTCGCAGCTGTGGTGAGAGGAACACCGAAGAATAGGACAACCAGAGTAACTGGAGCGGACAGGCTTCAAGCAGCACGTCCAGCAGAAGTTTGCCTTGGTCTAGTCTAGCAGCGGTTTGACGAGTAGTGGGGCTTGAAGATAAATTAGCACCGAGGCTGGCGACAGGGCTGGTGGCAAGTGGCGGGAAACACCACTGGAGTAGGTAGAACTCCAGGGTTGGTTTCTTGTTGGGGCACATGTGTCCTTTTGCACACTAGCTGTAGCAATGGCTACGCCAGAACGGTTGGACTCAGCTTGCACAAATGCAGGCACAGCAAAGTCAGCTGCTAGAGGGTTTATGACCAGAGCAAGTGGAAGTTTCAAAAGTCAAGCTGAACATGTTAGCTGAAACAGAAGCTGGAAAACAGCTGAGGACGAACTTGTTAGGACCAGGACTGAGTTGGACCAAAGGACCCCAACACTCGCAATGCAAACGCAAACGCTGGCACAGCACGCGCAACAAACACAACAGGCTGGAGCAGCAGCAAAAAAGAACGACTGAGGCTGATGTAACTAGGTTAATTCACCCCAATACTGTTCGTAAACCCCATTTGTATGGTGGTAAGGAAGAAGGCTGGGAAAAGTTTCAGCATGTTTTCATGGCATGGAGTTCAACTGTGCATCCACGTTTTCCAGAGTTGCTTGACAAGTTTGGCAACGAGCAGGATCCGTTAGAAGATGAATCTCTGACCGCTTGCTAAGGCAATGTACACCTTCTTGGCGCAGTACTGTCCGGAGCCTACCATGAACGTTGTGGGCCAAGCGCTTCACACAGCAAAAGGGTCCGGTTTGATGTTTCGAGACGGTTAGTGAAACTTTCAGAACCGTCGTGCAGAACAAAGGCTTGGGTGTGGAGACGACACTCAAGCAACCCGCAGCTTCCTAAAGAAATCAGCAGTTGGAGCCAGGCTCTACACCAATGGGAACCAGAGATGGGAGAACTAACCCGAAAGAACATCAAAGAGTTTGTGCAGTGAGGAAGAGAAGATCTCAATCCTTGCTCATGTTGCACTGGCGAGTTGCAGCAAAGTATCTTCATGCACAGCGACGCACTCGGAACCTATGCCAGGATGAGGGACTACATAGGACAGTACTTCATTAACAAGCATGCCTGGAAGAGGCAACAGGGATCTCAGTTTGGACTTACTTAGGTGACCAATAAAATGGCTTATGGTGGTGGAGGCCAACCGATGGACACCGGTGCAGTAAACCAGGACTGACGTATAAAGGAAAAGATGGTAAAAGAAAAGGAAAAGGAAAGCAAATCGGAAAGAAAGGAAGCTCAGGAAACCGTAGCAATGACAAAGGGTATGGAAAGAAAGGTCCGAAAGGAAAAGGAAAAGACAACAAAACAAAAGGTACGGTAAGGGTGACCGCAAGTCGTCCCAAGGAAAAGGAAAATGAGACCTGGAGGCGAAGGCATGCAGGTCAACAATCCTGATGCAGGCAAACAATGTCAGCTGTGTCATAAGTCATAAGTATGGGCATGTGACAAAAGACTGCTGTTGGAAGGTTGGCTCTGTGGAGCACACCACCGATCCTGGTAACACCGAAGCGCTGCTGCAAGCAGCAGTGACAGGCAAGGTGTAATGTCAGGTGGTGGAGCCGGTAGCACAGTAAGTGCAATCGCCGGGAGTTTAGCCAACCATGACCACATTGTTCGCACAGTCTGGGATTCGTTTGTCAGTGGAAGTTGTCAAACAGGGGATTTCAAGTACCTTTTAAGGAGGTGGGTTCAGGAGCAAGTGAAAATGTCGCCAAACATGGGGATTTCAAAGCATCACCTGATACCTCAAAAAGGCAAACCCTTGTATGGAAACCCTTGTATGATACCGCCTGAAAATGTATGGGATACAATATCCCCATGTTGAAGTTGGAAGTTCAGCCCTACGAATGGACATGACCCTGACAGATGCAGCTGAAAGTTCACTTTCTTTATACAACATGGCTGATAGAGGGCACAAGGTTCTTTTGAACAAGGTGATTGTCACATGGTTGCAGCGCAGAATGAAAGTTTCCCTCAGAGTTGCATGAAAGAGATGGTTCCTGAAGGTACGACATGAGCAGTCAGGCGACAAGAAACATTCAGTTACAATCAGCCACGAGGAAGACTTGTTTCAAAGGACAAAGAGCCGAAGAATAGAGCGAACCAGACACTTGGAGAGGTGAATGAGGACCGGGACTTTGATTCGCGTCCACAACACACCTCGTTTTCAACTGTTCACCGGAAAGAGCCGGAGATTTACGAGTGGCAATTGAAAGAATTTTGCGAGGCAAGCTGACCAAAATGATTTTCTCAGAAGATGAGTCAAGCCAGGAAAATGAGTGCATGTGGAGAAACAAGAAGATGGCAACGAAGCATGTGGGAAAGGAATGACTTGGCAAGCCTGGAAGCCTCAGCCTCAGGAAGTGGACATGCAGGTGATGGAGAAGAAAGAAAACCAAAGATACAAGCTTGTTCGATCCTCGAGAGTCCATCGATGATTTTTTCGAGAATTGGATATATGGAGATCCAGAAGATGCACCACCGCCAGGTGTGGAATGTGCCAGGGAAGAACGACAGTTGTATCCTTTTGCGCTGGTGGTTCCATCCAACCATGCCAGAGATGCTCTGGCCAATGGATCAGAGAACTTGGATGTGTAAAGGTGATGATATAGAGAGAGACGACAGGGAATTCCGCGAACAAGTTGTATGAACGGGTCAGAGACCTGATGCTCGGAAGAGTGAGTGTCAGAAAGTCGCCGCGATACAGTTTGTAGTCATTGTCTGACGGTGCGATGGTGAAAGGCCTGATTGCAGCAGGAAAGGTCAGGACATGGCTTTATGAGATGGAAGAGTTCTACAAGGAGAAAGTCGGAACCGAGCACTACCTGTTCCATTGGATCTTGAGATACAGTGCTTGGACGGCAACCCGGCTTCACCCAAAAGACAGTGGGTGAAACGTGTCTATCCAGGCAACACAGAGAAGTTGGATGAGCACCTGGTAATGACAAGCACCGGAACACGGACTTCCAGGATGTTGAGAAGATTTCCAGTGGGATCACAATACCAAGACGAAAGGTCAGGAGATGTTTGACTTCGAAGCTGGAAAGAAAGGTGATCTGGAGGATGTGGAACGGCCAGGAGTAGAAGCGGAAGCTCCTAGCTAGCGTACCAAGACGCGCACCTCGACCGGAAAGAGCGGCAGCCAAAGCGGCTACCAGGGCACCAACATCTCCAGCAACGAGAAGTCCAGCACATTGCCTTAAAGGAGAGAGACAAGCAAGGCAGCAAAGATCACGCCCCCCGAAATTGAAAATATAAGAGTTGATGGGGAAGGGGAAGCCGTAGAAGTTGAGGATCACCTCACAGGAGGGAGCGATTCGAGGAAGGCATCACCTCGCAAACAGCGGGTGGCACCGCTCCCGCGACTGGAGGACCACCGCTCTTTCGAATCGATATTTCCTCGGATGATGCCATGGGAGAAGGGGTCACAAGTTCCCAGGACATGGTGTCAGCCGTGAGCAATGAAGCAATAAGTCTTAGATGCAGACAAGATGAAAGAACGATACAAGATGCCTGATGAGAATTTTGACTACTTCCGACGATGGATGGATGAGAGAGAGGAGAACTTTGAAGCAGAGAGGGTGGCCAACACCCTGAAGATGTTGAATGATGACTTTGGAGCTTTTACTCCTCGTGACGGACGCTTGCTAGCCAAGGAGATCACAGTCTTTGGACACAAGTGGGTCGACATGACAAGGTGAGCAAAGGAGTGGCCAGATCAAGGCTGACATGTCAGGATCTCAAAAGAAAGGCCAGAAGGAGGACAAGCATAGCTCAGAAGCACCGAGCAATTTCTGTCCTACATCACATGGAGTGATCAAGGAACGTATCAGAAGTGTACAGCATGGCAACAGGTCTGCCAAGAGCGAAAGCAGATTTGACTTCAGCCTTTCTGATCGCAAGCGATCAACGAAACAAAGTGTGGCAACCGGTGATGATGCGACCGCCCAAAGAGTGGCTGGAGGATTACGATGAGTGGTACTGTTTGCAATGCAAAGAAAAAGTCTAGGAAGAGCTGCGAGATGTTCCTAAGGAATGTGTCTATGGCAAGTGGATGGCAACTTGTACGGCAGACAGCCCGCAGCTGCTAAGTACAGGGATAGGTTTGGAAGAGGTCGTCGCTAAGAAATTACCCCAAGACTATGATCTCAAAAGGGGATCGGTTGATGCATTTGTGTACACCTGTGAAAAGACAGGTACCGTCTTAGTACATCACATAGGTGACTTCGACATATGTGGCAGAGAATCAGTGATGCTTGTTTTGCTGACAGCTCACTTTCGAAAGAAAAGATGTAAGCTCAAATTTGGAGAAATGGAGTCTCTCAATGCTGGGAGCAGCAGTACGTCAGAATCTTGGTCGCAGGAGCTGCACTTACACAGCCGATTGCTAAGCATATCAAAAACAATCTTGATACAACCTGGGTCGGAAGACGCGAAGCCCGGACCAGTACCTGGAAGGAAGCTGGATCTCAATCAAGACAAACCTTTGCAATGCCTACGCTAGTTGTGTGAGGAGTGCAATAATACTTGTCACAGGACGGACCTGACATACAGTTTACTGTGACGGAGTTAGCCACACGGATACGTAAACTCAGGGATGTGACCTAGCTAACTTGAAAGTTTAGGTCGCTACTTGAAAGGAACGTATATGGGCATGTCAGGAAGCGGACCGAAGGGTCAAATATTTATAATAAATCCAAGTGCCTCGTTGCTGCGACAGTGATTGCGCCGGTGACGTGGAAACGCGACGCTCTACCAGTGGAGAAGCAATATTCCTGGGAGAGACGCTGGTGGAATCATCGTCACCCAGCCTGAAACTCCAGTGGCAAGCTCAGCAAGATAAGGTCATTGACCCATTCTGGGCAGACAGCAGTCTGGGCTGTGCTTTGGTTTGTGCCTTTGTGCCTCTGCTTTTTTGGGACTGTTTTCTGGTATTTTCCCAGCCTCATGATCAGAAGCTCGTCAAGAACTTAGTGGAATCAGATTTCGGTCTGAGAGTTGAAACACCAAGGAACGTTGGTATGACTCGTCTGCAGCACTCCAAGGGGGGAAGAAGATTGGAGAAGATGGAGTAGGAAAGGTGAGACATGTTGCTGTGCCACACGTGTACGTACAGGTTTTGGGTGAAAAGCGAACAGGCAAACAGAGGCAATAATCGGCCAATTCGATGGAGAGAGGAGCCCGGCAAGCATAATTACTCATATCAAGACGGGCGAACACATGAAACACAAAGTGGAACTGATGGACTGGTGGACTTGCTGAACAAGGACTTAACAGACATGTTGCTAAGATGAGCATGAGGGCAGTAGGATCGGTAGGTGAAAACAACAACAAGGCTCAGAGCTCAACATTAGGCAGTAGGCTATAGCGGGGTCAAACGAAACTATGTTTGCAGAAACAACACCCGTAGTGCTGAGCGACCTTGTAACGCCGGGAAACACCGGGCTTCAAATGTTTGAGCTGCTGTCTTGAGTTTCAATCTGGTAGCTATGTGTGGTTGCATGGCTGCATTTTGCAGCCTGTACTGTGATGTGATTTGCATTGTATGCCTTGCAAGGGAAGTCGCGCAAGCGCAAGGCAAAAGAAGAATGCTACTATCTCACCAGGTTCGGTGAGGGAGTGCATGTGGCAAGTGACTGTCCACCGTTGCGTGGCAGTACTGACGTCAAGAAGTTTCAGCCGTGTGCTAATTGTTTTCTGGTGATCGAAAAGACCAAGGTACAATGAGCCTAATACAAGTACCGACCAGCACAAATGCGCCAAACAGCAAGGAGGGTGCAACGAAGATATGCTTCTCATGCATGATATGGCAGCCTAGTGTATGGGTAAAGTGTGCCACCATGTGCAGTCGGGTGATACATATATACTCCGCAGCCCCTAGTGCTTGTAGAACAAAAGTGAACGCACTCGGTTTTCGCGCTTTCCCCATTGATGTCTGCTCCTGGATATTTTTTCTCGTTCTGGTTATTTTTTCTCGAAAATTCTGCAAAGATGATGGTGTGTTACGTGTCTTGTATTTCTTTTACCTGTCCAATGACCCAGTATTTGCTGGCCGGTTCCTGAGGAGCAGGAGGCCAGGCGCCTGTTGCGCATGGTTCGGCGAGCGGAGGAGGGATTGCTCCACAAGGTGGTTGGTCCTGGGCGGTTTTGGTGTGTTGTTTATCAACCCATGCGTATTTTTTCAAATCATATATATATATATAGATATAGATATAGATTTAGATATAGATATACTTCTTTGTATACATACTATTTCATCATCATATCTTTGTATACGGATATGTGATAAATCTATATTATGTATATTACCATCTGTATAATGTGTGTACATATATTTATGTAACTTTCATGGTATCTGGGGCCAGTTTCATGGCAGTTGGACCCAAACAATTTGGTAAGAAACCCAATCAACCCCAATCTCATCAGCTGCCGCTGGCTACTGCTGGCCACCGCACTGCTCGCAGCCGCTTGTGATTGAGACGGCCAGCCTGTTGGCTGGGCACTTTGCTGAACATTATAAGGTTTTATAAAGGATTATTTGGAAATATGTTGGGATAGAATTTGCATAGATTTTCCATAAAGACCATCAACAAAAAAGGGTACCAAGAAAATCACGAAACAGTTCCACTGATATGGGTCCCTGCGTATGGTTTGGGTTCATCATATCAAAAATCATCCCCACCAGGGGGGAACAAAATGTTTACATTGACATGTTGTTTTTTGCTTCCTCTTTACTTGTCAGCAGGCGGTTTTGCAAGGGCTGCTCGTTTTCTTCACCTCCCAAAGCCCGCCGCTGCGGCCTGCAAGGCCGAACCTCCAAGCCCCAGCGGCTTGAGGGATGCGCGGCTGGGTTTCGAGTTTCCCGGTCCCAAGTGCGACTAGGAAACCACCACACCCAAAAAACAAAAACCAAATTAAAACCAGAGATTGCCAGATTGCTTTCAATAAATAGTCGGCATCGTAGGACATCATTGCAATCCCAAACTCCTGACAGACTTACACCAGTCGCCCGACCTTTGTAGCACAGGCCATGTTTCTGAATCAACTAAGCATCAAGCATCTTTCCATCAGAGCCTTAAATCCAAACTCCAACAATTTAGACCAACCCTGAAGTTGGCAAAGGTTGGTAAAATATAGATGGCTGATGCTAATGATGACATTTGTTCAACTCAAGTAACTCAATGTTCATCTCAGAATGACAAGCCATGGCCAGGTACTCAAACCCAGCTACAAGAAAGGGGGCGCCATTCAGGGTACTCAGGGTGCAAGGGGCAGGGCGGTGGGAGCGGCCAGAATCCCAGAACGTAATTTGAATCCCCAGTCTAAATTCCCAAAAATTACCAATATCATGGCACTCTCAAGTTTCAGAATGAAATTCCACATCCTCAAAATCGATGTCGATGATGGTTTTGGGCCCCAAGATCGATGCCGGTGAGGGTCTGAATACCTAAAATCAATGTTCAACCCTCAAAACCATAGGTTTTCAATGTACCAGATGAGATCTGGTGCATTGATTTTTATGTTGAGCCCCCAGGTCAAAGTCAATGTCGAAGATAGGTATCTTTCCGACTCTGGAGCGACTTTTGCTCAAACCAGGACCACCAAGTATATAGCCAAAATCAATGTACCAGATGTCATCTGGTACATTGACTTTGGGCTTTTGAAAAATTAGGAAACATGGCATGTGCTACAAAGGTCGGGCGACTGGCGTAAGTCTGTCAGGAATTTGGGATTGCAATGATGTCCTACGATGCCGATGATTTATTGAAAGCAATCTGGCTCGATGCTTAGTTGATTCAGAAACATGGCATGTGCTACAAAGGTCGGGCGACTGGTGTAAGTCTTTCAGGAATTTGGGATTGCAATGATGTCCTACGATGCCGATTATTTATTGAAAGCAATCTGGCAGCCTGGCAATCTCTGGTCTTGATTTGGTTTTTGTTTTTGGGTGTGGTGGTTTCCTAGTCGCACTTGGGACCGGGAAACTCGAAACCCAGCCGCGCATCCCTCAAGCCGCTGGGGCTTGGAGGTTCGGCCTTGCAGGCCGCAGCGGCGGGCTTTGGGAGGTGAAGAAAACGAGCAGCCCTTGCAAAACCGCCTGCTGACAAGTAAAGGGGAAGCAAAAAACAACATGTCAATGTAAACATTTTGTTCCCCCCTGGTGGGGATGATTTTTGATATGATGAACCCAAACCATACGCAGGGACCCATATCAGTGGAACTGTTTCGTGATTTTCTTGGTACCCTTTTTTGTTGATGGTCTTTATGGAAAATCTATGCAAATTCTATCCCAACATATTTCCAAATAATCCTTTATAAAACCTTATAATGTTCAGCAAAGTGCCCAGCCAACAGGCTGGCCGTCTCAATCACAAGCGGCTGCGAGCAGTGCGGTGGCCAGCAGTAGCCAGCGGCAGCTGATGAGATTGGGGTTGATTGGGTTTCTTACCAAATTGTTTGGGTCCAACTGCCATGAAACTGGCCCCAGATACCATGAAAGTTACATATTTATATTTGCATATTTGTATATGTGTGTGATTTATGTAGATTCATTTGATATACATAAACATATAAATGACAGAACCGAACCCAAACAAATGCGGTGGGGCCCAAACAAAACCCTGCATGGAGACACCTCGAGCGGGTTTCTGGATGTCGTAGGCCACAGCTGGCCGACTTTGGCAGCACCTGGCAGGTGCCCTGCGGGTGCAGTTGGAAATTCAGCATTTGATCTTGCCAGAAAGGGGGGGACATAGGGGAGACAATGGGAGAATTACTAGTTTGATGAGTAGCAATGGGTATCACATGGCTGGAATGGAAATTGAATTGAAACAATTATCCCAAGTTATATGTTGATGGAATATTTTCGGGGTATCTACTCGGGCTATAAAAGTGGTCATGAGGCAGGATTTTCATGGAGAGTTGTGAACTACCAGATGTGTGCTCAGTGACCAGTGATCATTTCATCTACGCAATTTAGAGCGAGGCCAAACCAGGTAACGAGGTGGAGTTAGCAGATTTAGCGAGGTCAACGTCGAGGTGGGGTTAGCAGATTTGAGACAGGAGCCCCCAGAAGGTTCAATATCATGTTGTTGGAGTAAAACAATATTGATTTTGAGTGGACTGGAAGCAGTGCAAGCATGTACGAAAAAAAACACTTTTTCGGATCCTACAAAAATGTTTCTTTCCCAAAGCCTGATTTCATCCCACAGGGGTCATTCCACAAAAAGGGAAATCCACAAAGGGGAATTGCACCTTTCATTTCGGATCCCAGAATCGCACCGCAAAAAAAAAACATCCCATGTGATCCCACAAAGCGTTCATTCCATGTCATTCCGCAAAGGGAATGCGAAAAAAAAAACAGAGCGTTAAAATATTATGTTTTGCAAAGCTGGGTTTGTTCGATGGGCTGGTCCGGGGACAGAGAGAGAGAGAGAGGAGTTGCAACATCTCATTTCCAGTCTCACAAGGACAAGGGCAGCGCCAAAAAAACAATTTTTCAGATCGCGAAAAATTGTTTTGTTCGCAAGGCCCGATTTCATCCCATTGCACAAAAAGGGAAATCCACAAAAGGGATTTGCACCTTCATTTCCGATCCCAGAATTGCAGAGCAAAAAACATCCCATTTTATCCCACAAAGCGTTCATTCCACATCATTCCACAGAGGGAATGCGGAGAAACAATTTTACAGAGCCTGAAAAATGTTTTTTTTGCAAAGCCAGGTTTGCTGATGGGTTGGTGTGGCGACAGAGAGAGAAGAGTTGCAACATCTCTTTTCCAGTCTCACCAAGGCAGCGCCAAAAAGACAATTTATCAGATCGCGAAAAAATTGTTTTGTCCGCAACGCCCGGTTTCATCCCACAAGTACAAGGGGTCATTCCCATTTCCGATCCTAGAATCGCAGTGCAAAAAAAATGATTTCATCCCAAAAAGGGTTGCTCATCTCTTTTCATTCCGCAAAGGGAATGCAGAAAATTTTTCAGAGCGTTTAAAATATTTTTTGCAAAGCCGGGCTTGTCTGATGGGATGGCCCGGGAACAGCCTGCATTCTACATGTTCACAAGGTGCACGTTCTCTCCGCCCAACCCCCTCCCGCTTTCTTCTATCTACACCCAAGCTTGCACACCTGCAAATACACTGCTTTCCATATCATAATTATATTATTTATTATATATACTTTTGATTCACAATTGTATACATGGTATTTTTCAACATGGAGAGACATTGAAAGCCAAGGAAACATCGATCAAACCCATGGAAGAATCGATAAGAACCATCAAGAAATCGATGAACACCATCGAGAAATCAATAAACAACATGGCAAAATAAAGAATTAACATCTATGAAAACTATGGACACTCTCGATGAAGACCCCATGGAAAATATGATGAACTACATGGACCTGGCGGACCTGGCGGGCCTATAGTGGACGTGGCAGGTCTGGACTCATGTCATCAACAGCTGGGCTGCGCGTTGGCGGCCGCACTTTGGACTTTGGGGATCGGCCGGAGCCCCTGTTGCCACGAAGGCACTACGACCCAGACATCACGGGGATTATCTGGGAGAGTTGCTGGGTCATGTTGGACCCAAAGAGATGTTTATGGACTCTGGAACCAATGGAACCTGCCTGTTGTCAGACTTCTTGGAGCTTACATTGCCGATTTAGCAGCCTTTACTTCGTAAACAGAATGCTGAACGACAGATAATTGTGTGAACTTTGGGCCATATTAATGGAGGAATTCATATTCGGTTCAACATTACTTTTTTGCTGGGTCTTCAAGGCTAGCAATGTTGAAAGGGGATTGTTTCCAACAAATTGTTTGTCGAATCTCTGGTATTGACTTGGGGGTGTTGATTCTAGTTCGGACCTGTTTCAGGTAAGAATGACTGACCAATACATGTTGCGTGTTTTCCCCGACTATTTCACCCAAATCTTGTTCAACCGTTGCTCCAGTAATGTGCTAAAACAAGTAGTAATATCAGCCCAAAAACGCTGCAGTGTCAGGATCCTTTGCGATCATGATTCATTCCTGTCTTTTTTTGGTTGTACTCTTTTGTGTCCAGTCAATTTTCGGCGACATGTGTCTTGCTCCTATGCTTGGTGCAGAACTTGAAACCTAGACTCATTGAAGGTAATATGTTGTTTAAACTGCTAAGTTGCTGCAAATTACAGGAGCCATCATTGGACATGACCAGTGTCGGGCAAAAGGAGTGGGCCTACCCAAACTTTGCACTTTGAGCAGAGCAATCAACTTGATAGATAACTAAGCATTTTATATGTGATTGTGACAGCATATCATCATATCCTGTCCTTCAGACACTATTTTGTGTGTTGGGCCAACAGGACTTGACCTAGTGGCTCTGTGACCAGCAAAAGGGTGTACGCATCCCTCCGCCTGCTGTAGATAGGTGTCAGGTGGCTTCCCTTTTACAGTGGTAGCTGGAGCCTTCAGGTTCCTGGTGCCAAAGCTGCGCTGCTTCGTCAGGCTCCGTTGCTAGAATCTCCAGCGTCTCCTGCAAGCCTTGAAAATCATAATCTTCTGCAACCTGTTCAAGCTACTCTTCTCCTTCTTCACCAGTTGCCGCGTTCACCTGGGCCTCCTGGTTCTCTTCATCCTCAGGAGCGTCGTCATCCTCCGTGATGTAGATAGATCCACCACCACGTCCACGACCGCTTCGCCAAGAAGAAGCACTTGTAGAAAAAGCAGATGATGGCCAGCTCTTCCGAAATTTGGACAGCGTAGAAAAGTCAGTTGTTGACTTCCTTTGAAAGCCGCCGTCAGGCTTGTGGGGATATCCAGCTCAGAGCTTCGCGCGCACAAGCAGCATAGCTATCATAGTCTCAGGACCCAATTAAGGTGGTCTCCAGCACTTGCTTTTGCAGCTCGGTCCACATGATCTTCTGCTTGAAGAACCAACCTATGTTTACACCTTCAGCTTTCATCTCTCCGATCACCGTCCGGAACAGCAAAGTTGGGGATGCTCTCAGACCGACCTCGTTTGTTTAAAACGTCTGAATTCCACCGCTGGCCAGTCTCCACATCTAGCTCCATCCGGGCAGGCCGGTACTCCAAGTCCTTTGGTTCAAACTCAAGTGCCCGAAGCTTGGCGCTTCCTTTCTGCCGCATAGCAAACCTAGCAGCAAGACATTGAAGTCCACTGTCTTCAAGTCGGTGGAGTTCAATCCAGCAGTCCCGCAGGCTGTCAGCTCGTCCATCCCATATGGGGATATAGTCCTCCTCAGCCATTGCGCCAGCAACCAGCGGCCTACCTCCAAGTAGTCCACGTTGTAGTCCCCATTAAGTTCTTGTCCTGGTATTCAGGTGCTAGAGCTCCTCGCTGAAGCCGAAGCCTCAAAAGCATGAAGACCAGGCAGCAAGTTTTCGGCCGTGCACGTTGAGGTAGTACAGGATGTAGTCCAGATCACATCCATTAGTCCAAGATCTCGCCCAACCAGCCGCAAGCGAAGGAGTCAAGGTATAGAACGGCAAAGCGAAGCTGCTGCTGCTGCTGGTTATGTGGAGAAGAAGAATGAATTGGCTGACCTGGAACAACAGGTAGAGGACGCATTCGAAGCCTTGGTGACACTGCGTGAGGCAAGAGCACAGATTGGAGCTTTGAGAAAGGACAGTCCTTCCAAAGGTCAACCTTCAGGACAAGGACCTGATTCTGGACAAGTCTCCAACGTTTCCCAAGCCCATGAAGAAGGTCATCTCTGCAAAGGCTCCAGCTACCGCTCTTCAGAGAGCAATGTGGCGGAAGCCAACATTGTGGACTTGATGCCTGCGGAAGTGGCCTTCACAAAGGCTGCATTCAATGTGCAGCTCAAATGAAGAGCCCGCCATGCATGAGATCAACGTGGTGACATGATCTGTGATTGCAATGGCAGCTGCGCCCGTGGAACTTGGATTCAACAGGTGTTGAAGTCTTTCAAGTCGGCACCTGAATGGATTCAGGGTCTGGATGTCAAAACCAAGACGGATTATGTTCATTTTGGAGATGGAGGTGTGCTGCAAAGAAGACGGAGGGTCCGACTACCTTGCCTCTTTTGGATCGCCTGGTTGATTTGGATCTGCGAAATTTCGGTGAGTCTTTAGGATGTCTTTTGGGCAACGATTTCCTTATCACAGTGGGAGCCGCTGTGGAATTCGTTGGAAACAGACTGCAGCTGAAGTACTTGTACAGTCGTTGGATTCCCCTCTGAAAGTGGCCAGGCAATGTTCAGGCAGAATGCTATGGATTGTTCAGGCCGGGCAGCAGGTCGCCAGTGGAGAGCTGAACGTGGTGGAGGTTGGCCCCCGCTCAAGCTCTGCGACAAGTTCTGGTGGGATGGAGTCGCCTGGTGTTGCGGTTGGTGGCGCGGAAACGGTGGCACTGCGACGAGGCCCTGTTGCTATGGCTGATGCAGAGCCCTCATCTCCGCCGGTTCCCATGGTGGTGGGATCATCAGCGGAGTGGAAGAATCAGGCAAGCGAGGGGCACGTGGCCGAAGCGTTGGTTGCGACTGACACAGAACCGCTTTACGGCAATTCATCTCACTCTGGACGGGAACCAGGAGCAAGATTGGGACAGCCCAAGAGGTACAGCTTGGCACAGGACGATCAGTAGAGTCGGAAGAGGTGCGCAAGTCAATTGTGGCACCCTGACAATTAAGTCGGGTTTCACGAATTTGAAACGTGGCATTCGAGAAGCTTTGGGGGGCTGCGGTCTCAAAGGCCAAGCGCTCGGAAAGACTATGTGTTGGAGGTGATGGAGACTCACTACGCCAAGCATCTGGAGAAGATTGCAGCTGGAACACATCGTGAAGGTTATTGAAGGTTTCAGCGCTGAGCGCATCATGCCCGCACTGCCCAAGCTGAATATCTATGAGACTGTGGTGCTGTCGGTGGTTCGCATGGGAGAAAGCGGAAGAGGGCGACCCAGAGGAAGATGCTGGAAGATCAATGTGGCGGTTTGGACAGTTCAAAGGATGGATGTGTTGGGATCACCCTCCGAGGAAGTCATTCTTTGCCCCTTGGAATGGCGCGATGGCTCCATGGTGATGCCTTCACTGGACGCCGGAGAACAGTGGTTCTCGATGTGAGGTGGTGGATGACAACTTGAAGAAGGAGGACAACAAGGCATATCCTACCGAGTGGGTTGGTAAGACGTGGCTGGCCTGTTTTTGGTTTTCCACCGCCGGAGGGCACTGTGGAACACATGCACTCTGGAGGAGAATGGCGATGATGTCTTCATTGCCCGAGGGACTTTGAGATGCTTGGGAGCCCCTGCCAAAGGAAGAGAAAGTTCCGGTGATGATTTTTGTCAAGTTCAAAGCATGCCCATGACAGACATTGGAGAAGCGGGTGCTCTACCGAGATAGACCGCATCATCGACTACATGATCTGATACTAGCTTCTACGGCGCTCATTCTCGCGCAAATCCATCACAACATTGCGGTGGATCGCCCTGGAGAACCACCACGAAAAGCTTTAGTGGGGAAGCTCCACACTGTTTGGTGATTGCGTTTTGCTTTGGAGTGTGGTCGTCACTGCAGAATAATTTTATGATTGGAGCAACGACGAGCACTGGAGAAGATCTTGGTGGAGTATGCCGCCAAGAGGGCCAGTGACCGGCTTCTGAATGGCTGTCACGAACGGAGATCGGCCCCTACTGCGTCAGGATTGATCCGTGCTACTTTGGTCTCAAAGGAGCTTTAAAAAGATTGTACTACAAATCCACCAACATCCTCACTTCAAGCTTTGATGTGGCAGATGCTCTCAAAGCTTTAAAACACAGTAATACAGTAACATGAACCGGTGATTGGAGGACATCGTTATCCTCCGGCTATGGTGAGCTGATCGTGGATGGATTCGAGGCGGAGTTCGGGAGGCTGCTCCACGAGGTGAACATGGTGTCGCCGGGAGATCCTTCCGATGAGAGGGAAGGCGACAAAAGTGACTTTGAGGAGGATGAGGATGATGCTGGAGATGAGGACCAGCCTGGTGAAGTTTCTGGAGAAGTGGATGCTTTGGAAGAAGGCTTCGATCATGCTGATCCGGAAGGTCGTGAACGCGGCCGAGAATCCGAGAAGCAGGAGAGGAGATCAGTGAGGAAGAAGCTGGTGGAGAAACAGCCGGAAGACCAACAGCTGCCGAGAGGAAGCGGGCAGCACATCTACCTGAAGTTACAGGTCCCCGACCTGTTGGACGTTTGGCGAGAGCCCTGACTGTGAAAGGGGTTTCATCTGGGCAGGGCAGTGAAAGAACATCGTTGTGGTGCGTCGAGTAGTTCAGTGAAGACACATCGTCCGTCCTGCTGGATTTTCACACGGGCACGCAATTTTGGAGACCGGCTCTTCTCCCAGATGCCCACCTACAGGCCTTCCGGGTGGCTCACGCCATTGATGCCAATGGTGCCACGAGGTATGCTGGACAACAAGACGGCACCGGAAGTGGTAAAGTTCTTGCAAGAGGCACGGTTTCAGCCACTGGGAACTCTGGCGGCTATGACGTTAGACATGTGCAAGGAGTTCACTGCAGAGAGCTTCACGCACAGGATGAAGTACTATACGTGGCTGTGGGCCACGTCGCCATGGAGGCACCGTGGTCGGGCCACTATCCAAGGCCATTGGAATCGAGGAGATGAGGGCAGCCAGGGCAGCTTTGACCTGATCATTGGAAGCTGTCAACAGCAAGCTCAGATGGTCTTGTTGGGCAAGAATCCCCGAGTGATTGTGGTGTTGGTGGGCCTTCAGAGCTCCGAACCAGGATGCTTCCGCAGTCATTGTGCAAGCCTCCAGGCCAAGCGGAGGGCGGCAGTGGCAAGGCCAAGACTGACAGTGGACTGGAGAGCTTGCTTCCCTGAGCAGAAGGCCGTGCCAAAGAAGATGAAGTTGATTCAACGACGTTGATGATGGCATGGGCTCGGGATATTGCTTTCGAAGGGTGGTAACGTGCCTACTGCTGGGTATGTCGCCTACGGAGGAAACATCACCAAGGTGGCATGCAATGGAACACAGTCACATGCGATCCTGAAATAAGGGTTTCTACAAGTGCTGGCGGTGCAGACCCAACCTTTTTGGATCTGAGGAGATCTTCGGCAGGAACAATTTCTGCTGCAACAGCAATGTTGGGGGCTCCATGCTCTACCTTCTCAAGGCAGGTTTCCACTACAGCGCCTGAGCCGATCGCACCTTTGGAGGAACAGAGGGTTCTGACGCCTAGATTCCTCAACAGACAAAACGTGCCCATGCGCACCTGAGTGCCAACTGGCTTTCAAAGGCCAGTTCCATCGCAGCAAGGATCGGGCGACATCTGGTCTGCTGCATATGTGCTCTGAATCCAGGGTGGTGCCTGATCAGTGCGGATGTCCGAGCTGCCTTTTTGAAGGGAGATGCTTTTGTGAGTCGGGCGTCGTACATTTTTGGCTTAGATCAGGTCCTGGGATACCAACTCCACCGAAGTGACTGGCGAAAGTGCTGAAAGGCAGTTGTGGTTTAGCAGACGCTCCCAGCACCTGGTACTTGCCACTTGCCAGGGAATTGGCTGAAGAGTCCTGTGCGAGAAACTCATGAGACCTGGCAGTCTGGATGCGCATGACTCCCAACAACCATCTCACTGGAATGATCGCAGCATATGTCGATGACTTGCTGATGTCAGGGGACGGTGGTGCTGAAGCTTCTCTTTTCCAACTTGGACAACGTTTGGGCTTTTTGGAACGACCGAACGGGATTGTTTGGTGTGGAAAACAGTTTACACGAAATGCCCGGCCTGGGGAGGTGACAATTGACATGTGTACCTACCGCAAGAACCTCAAGCAGCGGGTGATCTCCAGGGAGAGGAAGCACAATCCCTCTAGCTTGCTTGGACCACAGAAACTCCGACAACTTCGAGGGGTATACTGGGATCTCTGCACTGCTGGCACGTCAATGTCGATTCGACCTTGCATTTGATGTTTCAGCCTTGTAAGGGGAGAATCCTCCGACGGTGAGTACCTTGATCCGAACAAACAAGGTGATCAAAGAATCGCAGGCGACACAAGACTTCATGCTCCACTACTGCCACAGTCTCGAAGTCAATCGCCCAGAAGTGATGGCAGTCACCGACTCTGCACTTGGAAACGATAACAGCCAAGGGCCAACAGAGGTGGACAAGATGTTGAAGGTGCACTGCACAGCCAGAGTTGATGCTATGCAGTCATCCTGGCCGTCAGGAGATGATGGATGAACGACCTGGGATTTTCAATGTGCCTGATTTTCAAAGCCATCGTCTGCAACGGGTGTGTCGCTCATCCTTTGCGTCCGAAACACTTGCAGCAGAAGCAGGTTTGGATGCAGCCGAGCTATGTCGTGGTTGCATTGCGGAGATGCGTGGAGTTTCCATGACGGACAAGCACGCCTTCTACAACGTGTGCATCGTGCTGCTGATGGGTGTGACCGAAGCCAAATTGGTGCATACGGCCGGGTGAGCCGAGACAGCGGCTTTGAAACCCAGAAATCGTTGGCATTTATAGCTGCAGCTCTTTGGCAGCAGCTTCGCCGACCACAGACCACAGACTGGACCCAAAACATGTGGGTTGATGCCATGGAGGAGCCGAACACATGGACAAGACCAACCTGAGGAAAACACTCCAATGAGGAACTTGGTCTGTGACCTACAATCAGCAGTTCACCAAGCAGATCAGTCGGAAGAACAAGAACCCTGAGTATCGAATATTGATTACAATCTATATTCTCCCCTTTGGTTTCTATTGCCTGTTTTTCTTGAAAAATATTGATTATAAAAAAATCTATGTTTGATTTTTTGGGTTTCTATAATTGTTTTTTATATAGATTTCTACTTTGTTTTTTGGCGTGTTTCTATTGATTTGTTGTTTTTTGGTTATTTTATTGATTTTTTATTTTTTCTGATTTTTCATGATGCTTATGTTGATTTTCACATAGATTCCAATGATGGGTTTAATGTCATCCCAAGTATATTTTTTATATATGCACAAATCTAAAACACCATTGCTATGATCCTTTGCAGCCACCTGGGTTTAATTTGAAACCTGCAATAGGGATATCATTGCCAAGGAGATCACCCGCAATCCTTTGACAAAGGGACCCTTTGGAAAAGGGACGCTTTGCCAACGGAACCTTTGTAGAAAGGAAACCTTGCAGAAGGGATGGTCAACAAGAAAGGTGGCCCTAGGCACTTTGCCAAGACTTGGGTAGAAGCAGGGATTGTTTTTGACGAGGACCTCATGAAAAACTTTAAGAATTATGAGTCAATTTCATCCTAAGGAGCACTTGGCCCAAAGGGCATATTGCATGCCTTAGGTTTCATAGATGATTTGCTGGATGAGGCACCAGCATGTGAGGTGCATGGCCAGCCACTGAGGTCTGCATTCTTAAGGATCTTGAGTGAAAAACCGCACTTAAACAACACTGCACACAGCGGCTCAGTATGGGTCCATCAGAGATCAGAAAGGGTCTCTGTCTTGCTGAGCCACTTCAGAAGACTGGCCAGGCAGGGCACAAGTAGCAAATATGCTTTCACCCTGACAGCCTTGGAGATGGCAAAGCTGAACAAAACCTTGAAAAAGGTGGAGCTGAAAGATGCTGCAGAAGAAGCTTTGCCAAAACCATTGGGAAGTGGAGATGGGAGCCCCCAGCCAAACAAGAAGAAATTGAAGAAACAGGTCCATGGATTCTAAAGGTTGCCCTCTTCTGCTGAAGACCCCTGAAGCTGTGACACCTGAGAAGGTGGACAAAGCAAAGGCAGGACCCAGCAAACTCTTGCAAAAATGTCCAGCACAGGCCAACTCATAAGAGATGTGAAGGCAAACCCAGAGCTGAGGGAAGAACTTTTTGGCGGCAAGGCCAAAAGCAAAACATTCCTTGAAGAAGCCTGCTGCAGCTATGAAGAAGCCAAGTGCGGCATTGAAAAAGGCTGCTGTGCTTAGAGGAGCAAAGGCATGGCTCAAAATCAACAAGGCAATCAAAAAAACTGAAAGAGCATACCTGCGTGGTACCAAAACAATTGGTGAGAAAAGCAGGTTGATTGTAGAAGTCAGCAGGGCCAAGAGCAGCAAGTACAATTTGACCATTGGCAAGATCAAGCAAGCCTTGGAAAAGGATCATTTGGGCAAAGAAGAGGCAAATGCCCTTATGGAGGAGCTTTGTAATAAGTACAAGTGACACCCTTGCCTTCCAGAAGGTGCTGTTCAGTTTGCTGAAGCCCCCTTTGCAACCGGGTGCCACCTTTGCAAATGCCACCTTTGAAAAAGGGTGCCACCTTTGGAAAAGGGTGCACCTTTGGAAAAGGGTGTCAGCTAGGCAAAGAGCCACCTTTGGAAAAGGGTGAAAGCATGTGTGAACACATATGCACAAGCAGGCTGCCAAGGAAACCTTTGCAAAAGGGTGTTCAGTTCCACAAGCCTGCCAGGTATACCTTTGCAAAAGGGTATCCACAGTACAGTTTTTGGTTTTTCAAATGCCACACCACAGCGTGTGGCTGAACTTACGCAGAACATGGTAAAATGTAAATAGCTGCAGCTTGATGATGATGATGGCCAGGGAAAACCCACCAAGACAACCTAAGGGAACGTCTGGGAATTAAAACCACAAAAAAGGGTTCACTTAAGAGTAAAGGGTTAAGGTTAAAACCACAAAAGGTTACCCAGAAGGGTTTAAGGGTAAGGGGTTGGAACCACCAAAAAGGGTTACCAAAAAGGGTTCCAGAGTAAGGGAGTAAGAGTTCAATTGTGAGGGGTCTAGCCACCAAAGTTCAATTGTAAAGGAATGGGGGCCAAACACCAAAACCAACAATATGTGATGTTTCTGTCATGGTTGTTTGGAACTTGTGCGCACGCACGCCGCAGCCCCGGCCACAAGCTTTTTGAGCTGACAGCAAAGTTTTTTTCGCCCAGTGACTGCGTTTTTCAACGCGTCCCTTGGGAAAGGGACTCCCTTGAGAGAGGGGTCCTTTGCAAAAGGGACCATGGATGCACCCTTTGCACTGGCTACCAGGAAGGGATGAGGCCCACCAAAGACAGCCCATCCTGGCTCTGGAAGTCAATGAGAAAACACCTTGCAAAAGGTGATGGTGGAAACAAAGCAGGGAGGGTGTTGTGCAAAGGGACTATCAGCTTAGCAAGAAAAGAGAAGAGAAAGCACCTGCAGCCTGGCTACCAGGCAGACACTGAAAGCCCAATCGGGCCAACATATGACTGGAACCCGTGGAACTCTTGCGAAAGAGAATGTGTTGGGTGGGAAGATTCCCAGTGGGCTGATGGCACCTGGAGCCAGCCCAGGAGGCACCTTCCACAGGTCCATCCTTTTCCAAACGTGCCTTTTCCATTTGAAAAAGGTTCCCCATTTTTGAGCAAAGGGGAAAACCATTGTGCTCTGGGTACAAGGCAGTTGTTTGGACCATCCAAGGTGATGCAGAGTTCTTTGCAAACCACCTTGGGCTCCCACATTGGGGCAGCTTGAGGCCTTGCATGGAGTGTGACTGTGCGTCATCCAATGCAGATGAATCGAAATGGCTCAAAACCATTGAAATGGGCAAGCAAAACTTCAAATACACTAGCAATAGTGAAGCTGCTGAGAACCCCCCTTCCAATCACCCACTTTTCCACCAAGTGCCAGGCTTGACCACAAAGTTTGTCGGGGGGGTGCTTTGTATATCTTGTGGGTTCATGGCGTTTATTTCCACCTCCTTGGCTTAGTGTTGCATTATTTGGTGTACCATGATGGGCCAGGTAGGCAAAAGAAACCTCCACAGGAGAGATTGTCACTTGTGCGGACAGCCTT